CAGGCTTCTCCAGTTCACAGTGGCGAGGTTGGTTTCGCCACACTTCTCCCCTTTACAAACTAGACTAACAGGGTATCTGACCTCCTGCCGGTCAGTGCCCTGGTTAGTCCAGCAACCCACCCACAAAACAGAAACAGCAGTACAGCCCACCCACAATAACTGGTTACTACACCTGGGTAGAGGAGAACTTTGTCCATGTCCAGGTGCCTCACCATGACTGTGTGGGCAACTGTTAGGCTGCCTTGGTGGGTTGCTGAGTGGGCAGAGACCAGCGGTACTCTGCCCTGATGCCAGTGCTACCACGGAAGTAGCCTGGTGGGAGCCTGGTTGTGGGAGGGAGAGACCGACTGTCTCCCCTCTGGATACACCGCTCTGTGGCTGGGGAACAGGACCGACTGTCCCTACCCCTGGTGCTGCAAGTGCAGAGACTACGTTCCCATCTGCACTGTTGGGGGGTGTAACATCTCCCCTTGCTGGGTTAGGCTGCCGCTGGAGAGAGGGTGTAACAAGCTCCTCTCTCTGAACTGTAAACTGCCGCTGGGGAGAGGGGGTATCAGGCTCCTCTCCCTGACACTCTCTCTGCTGGTGGAGAGGGGGACCAGCTGTCTCTCCTTTCATTATTTTGTCCTGTGGTTGGGGTGCGAGACTGACGGTCTCTGCTCCCTGCAGGACACTCTGCCGCTGGGGAGGAAGGACGGCACCTTCAGCTCCCTGGGGTACACACTGCCGCTGGGGAGGAAGGACTGCACCTTCAGCTCCCTGGGGTACACACTGCCGCTGGGGAGGAAGGACTGCACCTTCAGCTCCCTGGGGTGCACACTGCCGCTGGGGAGGAAGGACTGCACCTTCAGCTCCCTGGGGTACATACTGCCGCTGGAGATCTGGGCCGACCGCCCAGCATCCCTGTAGGGCCGGTTGAGAGACCGCCGTCCCATCTCCACCTGCCATCTGTGGGTCTTCCCAGGACCAGTCTGTGAGGTCCCTCAACATTTGCGAGTAAGGACCACCTGCTTCCGCACCTGGCAACTCCGGCTGCTGCTGGGGATCTGGGCCGGTCCCATCTCCACCTGCCTGTTGTGGTTCCTCACAGGACCAGTCTATGAGGACCCCTACTTCGGGTTCCTGCGGCCGCCTCAGGGGGAGACGGCTAGCCTCCTCGGATGCAGCCTCTACTCGGCTGCTGTAACACTCCTTCCACTGAGCATACTCTCTCTCTTTCGCCAGCCGGAATTCTCGGGCCAGCCTTGTGTTTCGCTCGGCCGTGACCTGGTTCCAGATCACCCGGCGTACCTCCATGGGTAAATCATCCCCATACTGGGCCACTCGCTGCCTCACCTCGGCCATCCAATCATCGCCAGAGCCTTCCATACTTGTCTGCTCCAAGTCGCTGGATACCTCTGCTCCCAGGGTCGCTGCACGTGTGCTAGCGTTGCCCTCAATTTGTAAATCCAAACGAACTGTGTCTCTGAGCTGCTTTACCTCGCACTAGGATGCCATCCCACCGCTTGCCACCAATGTAACGGATCGCCTGGCACCCCGACTGGGTACCTCCGTTAAAGGATGCTCCTAGCGCTTCCTGAGGACTCCAAGCACTGCAGCAGACACCACAATCACCGAACCAGAGAAGCATATACCTTCTCTCAAGCATATGAATGCTGTAGACAGTTGAATAGGAACCATACGAATAGGTTTACTCTCCTAGCAGTCAAACTGGAACAGCATACAATAAATCCTTCCCCCAATAATGAGACGACACTTCACTTTGAGGGTTAAAACAGGAACTCCTGTACTGTCACATACAGTCTCTTTTATTCCCAATCCACAAACATAGTACAGCCCACAGGGCGTTACAAAACAACCAATCACATCACAGTTACATCCCACATATTCCCTCCCCTTATCCTGAGAGGAAACTCAATTATACATACAGTTAAAACATACTTTCTACCCAACTTTCATAACTCCAAAACCATACATCACATTCACATAAAATTACATATTCACAATCAATCCATTCAGGGGAACAACATATTCAAAAATGGCACAAATCAGACAAGGGGTTCAAAAGTTAGTAAAAAGTCCTTTGTGACTAAATGAAGCATGGCTTTCTGGCCCAAACCAGTTTCAGAGTCTTCTATCCTGGAGATAAGTAATTCAATTATCTCCCAGGACAGACACAAGACTCCATTAAGCACATGGTTGCAAAAAGACCCAAAACACTTTAAAATACATAAAGTCACATTTACACATAACACAGACATTTCACATATCCCCAGATAGCTGGGATCTGAGTGCACATTATTAGATGAATGGCCCTCAGATCACACAAATAAGCCTTTCTGCAGGGGAAATAAACAGTTTAACCTGCAGGGCCATAGTCCAAAGGGAGCAGGTGAGCAACCAGGCTTCTCCAGTTCACAGTGGCGAGGTTGGTTTCGCCACAGTAGCAGCCAATAAAAAAATGTTTATATGGTCCTACTCACGTTTTTGAGAGCTAACAACTAGCTCTAGTAAAAACAGCGTACAGGGGTATAATACCCACTTATGGGATACGTGAGGGAGTGTTGTAAGTAGATATCTCGTCAGATGGGGACCATATGTAACATAAAAAACAACAATAGTGCTCACTGTGATAAAATAAAGAGAGTATATAAAAATACCAAATGGTTACTCACATTTAATTAGGCAGACGCACTGTACAATGATAGGGCGTAAGTGGTGTAATCCCCACCAAGGATGATTTGGAGTAGTATCTCTCTGAAACAAGTAAAACTCAGACGCCAGATAGTAAAATAATAAAAATAGAAAAAAAGATAAAATGGCTAACTAACAAGACAGAGTGTGGCCAAAATATCTTTATTAAAATACAGTTAGTTAAAATTTCCACAACACGTTTCTCCCCTTAGGGCGTTCTCAAGTGGATAAAATAAAAGTGGATACCTTTTGGGCACTCATGCATCAGAACAAAAACAATGTATTGTAGTGGTTATGGTGTCTATAGCATGTCCCTGCAGGCTCAGCAATATTAATGGTGCCTTTTCAGAGAAAAGGCAGTGTTTACATTACTGCCTAGTAACACCTCTAGTAGCAGTCCCTCAGACAGCCACTAGAGGTGCTTCCTGTATCTGCATGGAGACGCTGAAAGTTCCTCATATAGATGCATTGATTCAATGTATGCATAAGCAACAGTCTCCCAATGCTTTCCTAGTTATTCCAGTACTATAGTGTTACCTGACACTATACTGTTCCTCTCCTTTACTTGATCAGACAGCCAGGCAGGGCATGTAAAGTAAATAATAACAAACTGAGATATTAACTTTTCACTTATCTATTTACTTACGCATAAATCTCACTAGTGACAATCTCACTTTAAGGAGTTCTTTTTGTCAGTGTTGTCAGATCCTGTGTTTTCATCGCCACTTATCACCTCTTCCAGTTGATGTGGTAGCACATGAATACCGCTGCCCTGCTGTGCCCTGCATTCATATTCTGCAAGTATTCATGTTACAATGCTGCCGCCCACCCCATATGTTCCCTATTAAAGTTTAATAAGCATGTAGATGTTTAGAAAAAACACCCCTTACAGTATCAAAGAATTTTACCTGAAACTGAAAGAAGCAAGGTGAATTTTTAGTTTACGACTCATAAGAGATTTGCCTTGAAGTTGCAGGTGGGCTTACACCTAATGGCCATTGGAATGATAATAAAAACCTCCAGTTATTTAAATATGCAAAGGATTTGGGATAGTGCACATGTAACTCTTTTCTTTGGTTTTTATTGTATGTATCGTGGGCTGATGTGTACTGTAGTCATTGCTGCCGCACAGGAGTAGTGGGAGTTTGAGCGCAGGACTTCATTTTGTATATTCTGCAAGTAGCATGTGAAGTCATTAATCAATGAAATTGAAGAAAAAAAAAAGCCAATAATACTAGTACAATAAAACATGAATAATAAATGTTCCACCCTATGAATTCCACATACTTCCAAGCAGCACTTTTCATGTGTTGCCCATCAACATGAAAATATAACATATAAAAACAATACAAGAAATGGTGGGTTGGCGCTATAGAGCCAGAGAATATGCAGCTACCCCCAGTGCCCAAAATCACTAAATGGCACTCAAATACAAAGTGATAGAAAAAAGAATACAAGGGGGGTGCACATAGAGCAATAAGAAAGTATATTATACTTAATATAAGTAGGACACCTCCTGTTAAACCTATAATAGAAAAACACATATATAGTGTAACACTGTTATATACAAGACATCAATTGGTCACATGTATTGGGTCACTCACAGTGTGTAGAGCCACATAAAGCTGGCTCTAGCTTAGGTGGCAGGTGAATAATAAGCTTATTCTGGCTTTCAATTTTCAGCTTTCCAAGTAGCTCTGCTCCTTTTCTCCGCCCTTTAATAACTTCCAGGACATCCAGTATCAATAATCAAAAATGACTTTATTTTTATCTGTATCCTTTATTTTTACCAGTAAAGTCATTTTTGATTATTGATACTGGATGTCCTGAGTGAGTGACCCAATACCTGCCACCAATTGATGTCTTGTATATAACAGTGTTACACTATATATGTGTTTTTCTATTATAGGTCTAACAGGAGGTGTCCTACTTATATTAAGTATAATATACTTTCTTATTGCTCTATGTGCACCCACCTTGTATTCTTTTTTCTATCTCCATGAAAACATAACATATCTAGGAAAAACACTATGGATCTGAAAATACCTATTAAATTCCTCACCAGTCAAAACAGATAAGAAACTAATAAAATATATATTTATAGTTTTTGTTTAAAGTGACTTTTCCCTGCACAACCCTCTGCACGTGTATTATTATTGTTATTATTATTTTAATGATATAATTATAGAGAGAATGACATTGCTGTGCCAGGAGGGTCCATTTTGTGGGCTGCCTTGCTCTCGGGTTACCTGTATCCTGGTCAGGGCCCCTCCTCCTCCTCTATTATGGAGCTGCTCTCCCTCCATCCCTCCCCCTGTGACTCACTTCCCCCTCCACCCAGGTGAGCTCCATGGAACCCTGCATCTAGCAGCTGGAACCTCAGGTGAGTCCTTGTGGGGGTGAACGAGTGATTTCCAGTATCGGGGGGCACTGATCTTATGTAGGGGGGCTAGCAGCAGCAATCCAGCATTACCCTCTCTGTACACAGGGTCTGCAGTCTGTCCCTGGTTTTACTGTGTACCTATCTACCTGCTGCTCATGGAGCCCATACAGGAACTGAGTGATCAAATTTCATTTGTTTTCACTACTGTGAGTGTGTTTGGTTTCACTAGGGTGTGTGTTTGTTTATGGAAGGACCGCATTATGCTGCACTATGAGCCTGAGATATTGATTTAGGTAGAAGCTAATATCAGGAGGATCCTGGTGTAGGGAGCCCATTACAGATTACATATAATGTACAGTTATTTATAGAGATCAGTATATATTGGAGGTATTAATGTAGACCTGGGAGTGTGATATACAACCTGAAATCACCATATCTGATATATAGCACATTTTGTTTAGTGTTAATATGTTCATTTTAAATGCTTTGCTTTTTGCTTGATATGTATTCTGTATGCACACAGTTATTATAACCATGAACCAGGTATTATGGGAAAATAATTCAATCAGAGGGTTCTGAAGACATGTTTTATGAATGTCTATATTTATAACATATTATATGCTTCACATTTATGTATCCTTTATTGTATGGCTAGGATGAGCCTTAGGACTCCTGTAATCTTATATACCAATCTGTCCAAGATTAGTGGGAGTTATACTTCAGGGTGGTAGCCATTAGTTGCAGCTGCCAACATTATATCTACCCTGGAGAAAGGTAAATTTGAAATGACAACAAATGGCTATAACAGCTGCCATCTGGGAGTGTAACTCCCACTAATCTTGGGCCAGTGTATGTGTAGTGGAGAGTGAAAACCCATTTTTGCTTATAATTTTTACACATCCAGTAAATAGATTCACATATCCGTCCTGATTGTTAAATGTTTAGGATCTAAATCCGTTTTTGTTAGTTAAAGTGGCACTGTCACTGTCTGAGCACTGCCGAATTCACAATGTCCGCTGATGGTGACATCGCCGCTGGCAGACCTGGGGCAGGTAAGGTGAGATTTACTTACCTGAACATGTCCCTCGCAGGTGCTGCCATCTTGCTCACACTGCTCCTCTTTGCCAGGAGCCGACATCACTGCTGTACTCTCGAGCATGCGCGAGAGTACAGCATTGAGGTCCATGGGGGAACCAGTGAGACCGCAGGATCCTGAATAGATACAGCCAATTCCTTATTGGGATTCACTCTTTGACTCCGCCTTGAGTCTAAGAACGTCAGGCAGAGAAGAAATACAGAGACGGTGAAATCCCAACACAGTCAAATGAGTATTTCATACAGATTCTTTTTTTTAAATTATTTTTCGGGGGGAGAGCAGCTAAATTGTGATTTTAACACTATAGAGTCAGGCATACATGTTTGTGTTCCTGACCCTTTAGTGTTCCTTTAATAGAACTATTTCGGTGCCAGGAGTGCCTTGGCACTCTTACCCCCAGGTAAGTAGTGAAATGGTTTGACAACCTACCTGGGGTCTGCCAGGCACTGGTCATCATAGAGTCACCATAGCCAGAAGCTCTATGCCCGAGCTAGCCTGGCAGTGTGAGTGATTACTAGATGTGACCAGTTGCCTGGGGCAATCATTGGATTCCTGCTAAAATGACATTCAGGTTTAATTTAAGAACTACTGTCATCACACAGACCTTGATTTACTAATATTTTTGTTGTGCATAAGCTTTTCAAATAACTTAATATTTATGGATAACCTCTTAAAATATATATATATTTTCTAAATATTAAAAATATTTAAAGTGTGTGTGTGTGTGTGTATATATAGTTTGAAAAACTTATCTAAGAATATTAAATTGCGACCATAATATATAGATTGGTAAAGGTACAGCAATGTCTGGTTGATCTGAGAGAACTTAACATAATGTTTTTTGCCACCCACACTCCTTTCCATGTGGGGTGTGCACATTGTGCACTACCTTGATACTGTGAGGTATAACCTGGTTTGCGTACATCTAGTAAGGGTGTAACCTGCCAATCTATTTTTAATATTTCTTATCCTGACTGGAATTAAAATGTCTGGCCTGCCTTCTAAGTCTACTATTTTCCAGTTGAAGCACACTGCTCAGCTTGTAAGTAATGTTGAGCTGGGTTTTACCTTCTTGAGTTAATAAGAATACGTATGGCTCAAACTTATGTAAGATAATAAAAAAAATTACATGCATAAATAGATTTTATCTTCCAGGTCTCAGTAAGTACAGGCTTGTAGCTACCAGATTGAAGAGGCATTTACTTAAATTGTCACATTGAATCATTTTCCTTGTAATAAGGCTTTCTGTAGCATACATTTTATTAACAAGCCTGTAAAGAAAGGTAATTTTGTACCTCTCGGCCCCTTTTTTACACTTTGTTTTTTTGGGGTTTTTCTTTTCAAAGTCACACACAGTCTCCACCCATCGGTGTCCGTAATTAGTAAAGTAGTACAGGTTATCAAAATGTGACATTTTCCCTCCCCTCAACAATAAATTCCATTTTGAAAGTGTATTAACTCGAGATAAGATGTATATTATTATTATTATTATTTATTATTATTTTTTTTTTTTTGGATGTGTAAGAAAAATGACATGATATTTGCTTTATTCCTGCATTAAACATGTTTTATCCATACTACATAGCTGCATGTAATTAACATTTCTTAATTTTATTTATATGGTATTTATCCCAATAATTTCTATTGATATTTATAACTTTGTCATCTAGCAGCCAGGTGTTCTTATATACTTAAAGTATGTGATGTATTTTTTTTACATCTTCCTACTAATGTTTTATGTGATTTCTTCTATCTTTGAACATCATGTCATCTCAGAGTGGAGTCCGTATTAATTTTGATAGGGGACATCCTTTGAATTTTTTTTTTTTTAAAGGCTATTTATTGATTTATGCTGTTGTATAAAGGCTCATGGCAAAGTTAATATACGCTAAGTGCCCTGGCAGTAACTTTTCATGGGTAATTGGTATATCAGCATGAAGATGTGGTAAAGTGTTAGTCTGTAGATAATGCATTAAAATATTGGAGCTAGTGAAAGACTTCTGCAAATCTATATTTCATAGATTCCAACATTAGGAGGTATGAACTCGGAAGGCTGGCCATGATGTGAGAAGGGGGATCTGCTGAGAAGAGGGCATATCAGTCTTGTCTGTATGCAAACCAGGTTGATAGCTGTTTTGGCTGAAGCGCTGTGCCCACGTTCTTAATTCTCTGAGGGCACTTTGCTAAGCGTTAACATGTCAGTTGATATGGTCGCCCTGCACTTGAATCAATGCTTTCCTGTGGAGCATTTGAAGCTGTTAGATGTCCTAATGCAAAGCGTCTGGAAGACTGTCACTAGATGGACTTAACCCTGCAATGTAAACATTGAAATATCACTGATACAATTTAAAGGGGACACTATAGTCACCAGAACTACAGCTTAATTCAGTTTAATAGTTCCCACTCGCGCCGCTCAGGAGGGGGATACTAGGTTGTGTTTTTTTTTTACTGGCTGCTTACTGTTTACTAGACATGCCCCTACTTGCGGCATACCGAGTAGGGGCAGATTATTTACTAATACTTGCGGCATACTGAGTAGGGGCAGATTATTTACTAATACTAAGTCATCTTTACTTCGTATTAGTAAATTTAGGTCTTTCAGCCTTTTGGTAGATAGCTCCCTAATACCCTGGGAATTAGGGAGTTATCTACTAAGCGGCTGCAAGATGCAGTCGCAGCACGAATAGGATCTGAGTTTCATTCATTTGAATGAAATTCCAATCCGATCAAAGTCCCGAATTCCGTCCTAACATGAAGGAGAAACTGTTCTCATTCTGTCTAAATGACAGAACGTTCGGAAATACTGACAGGAAGCATCATGAGATCACAGAGGAAAAGCCAAGAATTGTGGGAAAATTGCTTTGACCACCGGAAACGGAGTACACTTTGTTCCTCTGCTGGTCAAGCGTAGGAAACCTCCATAAGACAAATAGTCCCTACTTTGTCTTATGTTTTAAACAAAACTAGAGCAGACAGGAAGAAATGAAGAATAGATCCTGACAGAGGGAGAGAAGAGGAATCAATTGGGGAAAGGTTAATTCAGCATGACAGTGCCGCTTTAATGGTGGGTTTTGCACTATAGGGTGAGGAATTCATGTTTGTGTTCCTGACCCTATAGTGTTCCTTTAATAGTTAGACCTAGGTTAAAAATAATGAATCTTTTATTGCATATGTCAATACAGGGTCACTTTATGAATGATATTAGTACTAGTAGCTAGTAGATAGGGATCCAAAGCTGTAACAGGTTAGTTAGTAGTTTCAGGCTGTAATTAAAGGGACACTATAGTCACCAGAACAACTGCAGCTTATTGCATTTGTTTTGGTATTTAAAATCATTCCCTTCAGGCTTTTTGTAGTAAACAGTCTTTTCAGAGAAAATGCAGTGTTTACATTAAAGCCTAGGGATAACTCCACTGGCCACTCCTCAGATGGCTACTAAAGCTGCTTCCTTGGGCAGTGCGGCATAGTAAGCAGCACTGCCATTCGGTATCTCCACCCTCTGCATGGAGACACTGAACTTTCTTCATAGAGATGCATTGATTTAATTCATCTCTGTGAGGAGATGCTGATTGGCCAAGGCTGTGTCTGGCTTGTGCTGGCTCTGCCCCTGATCTGCCTCCTTGACAGTCTTAGCCAATCCTATGGGGAAGCATTGCGATTGGCTCAAACCACCACTTCTGATGATGTCAGCAGACAGAGGCAGAGCCAGCAGCTGCAGACTTGAAAACAAGTAAGATTGTACTACATTTAGTGAGGCAAGGGGGGCCAGAGGGGCTAGATGGTGGTTTTAACACAATAGACTCAGGAATACATGTTTGTGTTCCTGACCCTATAGTGTTTGTTTAATTTTATTTATAGATAGAATATACAGATCTTGCTGTAGTCCCAGAGGTGGGAGATGTGGAGTTCTCTCTCTTTTGGTTTAGTGTCTTGTTTTGATAGTTGATAAATTGCACAAATGCCACGCTTTAGAACTTTTCAAATGTTGATTTGCAAATTGCTTGTGATTAGGGTATTTTCCTTTCACTGAAGAAATTGAAACTTTACATTATTATTAGCATTTATATAGCGCCAACAGATTCTGCGACTTCACAATTCTAAAATGGGGATATTTTACATGTAATTTACATACAGAATATAACAGACAAGAGTTGAAGACCACCCTGCTCAAATGATCTTAGAATCTATTAAACAAATTTTCCCAACCCTCCACAAAAACAGCAAATTACACTGAACAGTAGCTTTTCAACAACATGAAGCATACATACCCAGGTAATGTGATAAAATAGACACGAGTAACAATATTATAGAAACAAAACATACTTCTTTTTACAACTCTATATAAACCGAAAATGCGTTATTCACTAAACGCTAATTGTAGTTGACGAAAAAGACAAATAACTAAATTGATACTGTAGCAGAATTGGAGAATTTTTTTTTTTTCTTGTGTCCCAGATATTGCAATTTTTTTTTTTTCAATCCACTACAAATCGTTTTTTAATGGACAAAAAATACAGATAACATGTACTCTTTCGGATTGTGCTGACCTTGAATCCTATCTTCTATTATGTTGTTTGTAGTGCTTGTATACTAGATCACTGATCTAGTATATTTCAAAAGGCAGAGCATATTTATGAATAGCTACTTAAAGGACGACTTTAATGTTAGGAATACAAAGATGCACTCCTAACAATGTGTTCCTCGCCCCTTGCGCGCACCCCCCGCAATGTTACAAAGGGTTATAAAAACAAAAACAAAAAAAAAAACTCTATTCACTTACCAGATTCCAGCACCAAGGTCCCGTTCCTCAATGTTTCCTATGGGGATTTCTCTACACTGGACATCCTCATGCAGAACTCTGTGAAACTCCAGGAAGCGCCTCTAATGGCTGCTTGGTAAACAGCCACTAGAGGCAGTCTTAGTGCTGCAATGTAAACATGCCAGTTTTTCAACTCAAATGTTTTACATTGCAGTGCTAAGGGGTACATGGACACCGCACCCAGACCACTGCAATGAGCTGAAGTGGCCTGGGTGCCTATAGTATCCATCTAAACCAGGCTTCCCCAAACTCATGATTCTATGAATGAAATAGGCTGAGAATCATGGGAGTTGTAGTTCAGCTACATCTGGAGTTTGGGGAGGCCTGATCTAAACTTATATCACTATATTCAGATGTTTCTTTTAAAGTGCTGGCTTCCTGATTGCCTGCCAATTGTGTTGTACAGCCCCTCTGTTATAGAGATTATTCATTTGGTATGTTAAGCAGTACTTTGCTACATTTTTCATTGTTCTTTTGATGACTTGTATGCAACTCAATGGGATTTGAGAGAGTAGGAAGTCCCCAAAACCATCAATTATATCCAAGTAACTGTCTAAACGTAGCTTTTTTTTTTGCAGTGTATTTATCTTGATCCTTTATTTTGTGTCGATTATAAAAAGGATTGCATCACTGCCCAAAATATGCTTTTGATCGCCCGTCTAAGTACTTTGAGCATGAAGGAGAGGAATGCACAAATTATATGCCTGTACTGTCTGCAGCTTTACATGTAAGCTATTAATCATTGGGTCAGCGCTAGACAAGAGGGCAATGCTATTTTTTTTTTTTTTTTCACCAATCGCCCAGTCAAAATGGAGGTGACAATAGCTGAGCTTTTAGTAATTCAGCTTGCAAGACATATTGATCCTATTGGAGGTGCCTGACTGCTAAGAGTGCCACTTACAAGCGAGCTGAAACATTGCGGGTTCTCTTTTGTACTGCAGTATCTCTGTTTGGAGGAAAACCAATGAGAAGGGTCTCCTCAGTTTGAACTCCTAAAAAAATAGCAAGTTAAAGGGGACTCAGCACTGACATAATGAACGTTGTGTTACAAATAGTGTTCACACAGGACGCCAAGATAACTGTAGTTGATGCCATGTTTTTAGGATCCTAATTTGAAATAAAAACAGATTTATAACAAAAACAGAGAATATGAGACTGAGAACAGACAAAAGCTTAGAGAAACTCAATAGCATGCTGTTTGGTAAATCCTCGCTAAGGTCTCAAAATAGTTTTTGCTCATTTGTGCCATTACAGGGAGAAGCCGTTTCATTGCATATCAGACTGATCCCACCCATAAGGGCTGTCCAGAACCAAAATGCTGGCAAGTTCTCTCTGCACGAGAGATATAGCAACCCTAGACGATCGTTTACGGCAGGGGTTCTCAACGTTAGTCCTCAGGACCCCCTACCAGTCCAGGGTTTAGGGATTACCTGGGTGTGTCTCAGGTGTTTAGAAAAAGAGAAAAAAAAAACACCTTAGAGTCTAAGGTGTTTTCCCCCCCCCCTTTTTCTTAACACCTGAGACACACCCAGGTAATCCCCAAATCCTGGACTGGTAGGGGGTCCTGAGGACTGGGTTGAGAACCCCTGGTTTACGGCTTTCTTTGGGCCTCATCAGCTAGGTGTTTCTGATCACCTTCAGGCATAGTGAGCACGGGGTCCACATCTGTATTACCCTTTTAACTTGGGGAGAATCAAGTTAGTGCATTGCAACAAAAACAGAAGCTATGAGAACTCTAACTCCACAAGAGCCAGCGCAACTCATGCCCAAACACTTGGCTTCCACAAACCCAAAACACCCCCTGCCCCCTTGGTTAGCGGTAAACAATCAACCCGGAAGCACCACCTGCGACAAAACAGGACCCTCCATCACAGCATACAGACTCCCTCACCCAGTGCAACACAAAGAACTAGACTAATGAACACGGTTTTAGCGCAACCCAGGCACACCATTACCGCACCAACTTCTCACCGCACACATGGAGCGCTAGCACCATCAGACCCACAACCCGCATGTGCTGACACATAATACCTAACCCTAAACACAAGGGTATACAAAACATACTGACACATCTAGACAGAGCATCATGTAATGTTTACTATGTTAATGTTATTCCTGAATATGTTGTTGCTTGACCCAAAATTGGTGCAAATCTTTAATGACGTTGTATCTATACATTTTTGAAGCACTTACGTGCATACCTGTTTGTGAAACTTAAATACCATGCACCAAAAATGAAAAATAAAGAATTTAAAAAACAAAACAAAAAAAAACCAAACTATGAGAACTCTGACGGACAAAATCTCAGAGAAACTCAATAGCTTGCCCTTCGGTAAATCCCCACTCAGGTCTCAAAATAGTTTTTGCTCACTTGTGCCATTAGTGCGTGAACGGTAAAATAGTGCTTATACACATATTTGGTGTTACAATAATGTAAAATGTAATTTTATCATGTAAAGAGACCGTAATGAAACTAAGAATCCTGTTAGAGGCAGACATAAAAAAAAAAAAAGTAAAGTACACAGTAAAGCCCAGCAAAGTATGAATTTTCGTAATGAGCACTGCCTTTAATGTGAGTCTCTTTGGGAGCCCTGGTCAGCTGTGTTTGTGCTGTGGATCCTTCATTTATTTTATAGAACGGAATAGGGTTTTGAATTCTCCTTAGTGAGTGCTGACGCAGGGAACACTGAATCCTTTCAGTCAATTCTTACAGTTTACCTTGGCTAAACTTTTAATTTTTCTATTAACTTAGGGTTAGTTCTTCTTGCAGCTGAAGCAACCAGCACTGCTATGTAACCCATCTGCTAAATGATTGTCATTAATCATGGTGAGTAATATACATTTATATACTATGTATATACATCTGTATTCATATTACACAGTCTGCCTGTTAATTTAACAGACTGATCATGTTTTTAAATGCCCTTCTGTATGGTATGGAGTGTCACACCATGAAATAAAGCAGGCATTGTACGGTGTGACTAAAACTGCAACGCGTGGGCCCATTTTCTCAGTGCACGGCTTGGACTTTTATATTCAGGCCAGCGGAGATTGTTTTCAGGCTGCGACGGTACTTTGTTGCTAGTGCCATTATTTTAGCCACCCCTTCTGTTACTGATGTGCTGGAAGTGGAGTTGGAGAGAGAGACTCACTGTCTCCCCATCTCTTCTCCCATCATTCCTGTACTGCCATGATATTAAAGAGGAGGTGTGGCAAAGGGGAGGGTTTATGCTGCAGAGTAGAATACATTATGCACATGAGGTCAAAACTTGTCAAATGCATTCAAGTTGTTTGGGTCTGGAGTGTCTCTTTAAAAAAACAAAACAAAAAAATCTGCTTTGTGGTCTTATATGGTGTAGCCTGAGTATTATTCCCTGTAAAACATGCTTTGCTGTTATGTTTCCTCTATATAAGTTGAGGAGACCCAATACCGTGTTTTGTGAGCTAAGTACATGCATATTACATTAAATTCTTGTGCCCTGGCTGAAATGCCCTGTGTTGTCACCATGCAATTTTCATGTTTGGCTTATTGGGGAACCTGAGGTGAAAATTGGATGTGCTGCCTTAGCTTTAATACATAATGAGGGGGTCTCACTTCCCCATTATCTGTCCAAATATTTGTACTGCAGAAGCACTTATTATATGACCACGCAATGAAATGAGAGACTCAAAGCAGTGGCCAATCGTTTGCTGTCTGCTCCAAATTGCTGCAACTGATTACTACGGATATTTGTCAAAGCAAAGGACAATGTTTTGACCAAAACCAGAATGACTAGACAAAGAGTGTCCCTTTAAAGATTGCTTAACGTCATTGGAGTTAAAGTTCTACACTAGTTGGGCGACTACCTTTTTTAACTGTTTCTGATGTGAGTAGACTAAATGTAGACTAGATTTTCTTCCAAGATGACCCTTTTTGTTTCATAAACAACACTTCAGATCCTAAAATTTGCAAACGTTAACATGGTATGGTTCTTTTCCTTTTCAAAATATTTTTACACTGCAGCCCATTTTCCTAGAAGTCCAGAACAGGGCTGTGTAAGAGGTAATTACGTACATGAAGCATTGTCATGAATAGCAAGCTTTGTGCTCTGTGAATTTCATCCACTCCTCTGGTTTATGCTGCTGTTGAAACAGACGGATTTTGGCTTTTCTGAGCTAGAATTTCCTGTGGTTGAAATTCTTGATGAAGCCGTTTGTTGGTGTTCGTATTTGTAATACAAGGAATCCTTTATAAGTATGGTACTATAAGCCTACATTGCTGGGTAGAGCAATATTACATTCAAAAATATATTTTTCTGGATGTTACTGAATTATGTGCTGATACTTGATGCCAGAGTGCATACATAGGTGTCACAGTGCCCACTGGAAGCCCTTATATGGCTCTGGCTTCCGCGATCCGATTAGTGACTCGAATGTCCAGATTTTGTGCATTCACGTTCTGGTGTCACATGACCTCTAATAACCAAGTACTGCACTCCTAGGGCTTTATAAGCTCATTTTGGTCATTATGCTGTGCCCTATCGTTGTTCCCCTCAATGGTTGTCCGAAAGCGCATTTACTATAGTTCTATCTGTTGTCTGACCCTGGCTTGTATCTTGACCATTCTCCATTCTATTTTCCTTGAACTATGACTTGTCTACTTGTTTATATATTCTGTCTCTCTGAACGCGATCTGTTTTGTATTATTCTATATAGCGTTGAGTCCGGCCCCTGTAAGGCACATTAATGCGCTTTAGTAGTCTGGTTTATTATTCGTTTTACTTTGCTCACTTATGTTCTGCATGTTGGGTCATAGTCCATCCTGTCAATATGTTGTTTTTGTGTGTGTCTTATACATTAACACATTTTTAGGATGACTGGCATATTTTAGGTATAGAAACGAGTAGAAATTTCAAACAAGATGCAGTAAATTGTTTGAATATAAATGTCTCTTTTGACTGTTAAAGGAACACTCCAATCACCATAACCACTACAACGCTCTGTAGTGTTTACAGTGCTAGGAATGCTCAACCGGGGGCCTGCTTATCTGGTATTCACTGCCTCCTCTCTTTTCAGCAGAGAGTCAGAATGTCTGTCTGAGCTAAACCTGGCATTACAGGGCTGATCACATCGACTGAGAGTGATTACCTGGGTAAGAGAGAGCAAATGGAAGCACCAGCTCTCTGCCAGAAGTAGAGGAAACTAGGGGGTAGGACCTGGCGGACCCCAGGCATGAAGCCACGCTGTACTAAAACAGCTTGACTACAATGCCAGGGCACTGTATTGGAGTATACAATGTATTGTGCTTGGAGTGTTCATTTAACTTGATTTTATTTATTTTGACCTGCAGTGCAAAATCACCTCAGGCACTTAAAAGGTTAAAACAATCACCTTTAATTTTTCCTCCTCTTTTTGCTAGTTGTCGCTCTGTAAATGGCGTCTAATTAGAGCAAGCTTAAGAGGACTCCAAAGCTGTGTGCCCCATTTACCAATCAGCAGAGTCCTGCCATGACCTCACACCTCTCCCCATAATACAGACTACACCAGGTGATGAGCTGATGAGTAACCCTATTGTCTGATTCCAGGTGTTAGAATCCAGGTTTTCACCTCTGGCAACAAATGACAGCTCATCTTAATACCCCCAGCATGATCAGCACAAGTCAGCAGTTTGCTTGTGGAAAAAAAAAATCCTATTATTATAACTTTGTTAAGCCAATAATATCATCTTCACACATGCTGTCATTTGGTTCAATACCTTCAGCTTTCAAAAGCAAAACAGAAAGCTTAGTGCATTTATTATGCATATGCTTTGTTCTAAAATGAAATGTAATTCTCCCGATTAATTAAAAATCATTTTCCATAGAAGTCCCCGACTGACACTAGTCAGTGATGGTTTCTATATTTTCCATGTATTGCATTATTTCCTCCAAGTACACAATTTAATTTTGCATGCACCCTTTTTGGGACTGTATTTTTATATTTACTTGCCTTCCAAGTCCTCAGTCTGTGTATTGCTCACCCATTGGATTTAAAAAAATTTATAGCACGTTCTTCAAATTTCAAATTTTCAAGATTTACACGAACATTCTGCAGATTGAGATAGAATTGTGTTGGACCTAGCAGTCTAAGTGAATTAACAGTTGGAGTATGTACTTCAGTGCTTATAGTTGTACTCTAAACCAGTCTCCAATTGATGTCTGGGTCTGTTGACCCAACCTGCAATGTTAGGAGGGGGTGGGAAGTAAGTACTGTAGCAGCGTTTGGAAATTATACCTGGGATTTAAATAGATTTATACTTGGAAGTTAAGTGAATCATGATCCCTTAAATGTGGGGTTTACTGCTCTTTTAGTGTGTAATCAGATAATGTACTTAAAACTACTTTGAGCAATTTGCAGTTTACTATCCTGAAAAAACAAGTTGTTTGTGTCCCTTGAGGGTTGAAATTTTATACCCTGCATTACACTGGCTATGTCTACACAAAAGTCATTTGGGTGATTCCAATGCCTCCTAACAAGTCAAATGGACAATGATGGACACTGTCATTTTAGGGGTGTTAGTGGGCATGTGGCCAGTGGTGAGGCTGGTTTTAGATATTGGTGACTTGCAAATAACAATTTATGCAACTAAAATGTAGTTCTTGAACAAGAACAATGTATCTTATTAACAAAGATTGAACTCTAAACACATTTATTAAAGTTTGAAGGTAACTTTTTTTTAGCTGGCTTCTAGAGTCCAAACAAATTTGTCAAGTCCTGCTCTACATTGTTACCTTCTTCAATTGGGGTCCTTGTCAACCTGTTGTTCCTGTCATAATTTGTGATAGGTTGTCTCGTTTGCTGTTAAATTATATTCTTTTAAAGCTCTGCGGCATAGGTTGGCGCTATATAAATGCTATTAACTATCTTTCTCTGTGTGTCTCTCTGTATGAAAGAGATCTATCGGCATACATATGTATTAAAAGATTTATGTTTGTAACGTTGGGTGTAATGCTAACTTTCCACCCATTATGTAAGTGATTTTTGCAGTGAAAATTATCGCATTTTGGCCTCTGGTTCTTAATCCATTCCCCCCTCCCCCCTTTTCTTGGCACCTCCTCCCCACATGAGGTGCCCATTAATGAGCTGAAAATTCCTGGCATGTCACAGGAGAGTGAAGCTTTTTGGCAATCAGAAGTTTTCTCAGCTGCTGATTTACCTATTTACAGGCCAACTATTAAACCCCTGTGATAGGATGAACGCTGGCCCATGTCACACAGCTGTGTAGGGACATGCAGCTGGAACAGCTTGTAGCTTGCAGTCTTCCCCAGAAACCATCCGGTCGCTGCAAGCTCTGGAGTCAGGGGTTCTGTGCATTACAGAAGGTATGTAAGCTTTTTGCCTCTAGCCTTGATGTGTGGCGGAGAGCAAGGCTGGAATTTCTGTTTTGCTTTGACTGGTCTTTGTCTAACTCTACAATAATCTGCCCATTGCTGGAGATATGCTACATCTTGTGCATGTCCTGTGTATTATAAGAGCTGTGTGTAAAGTTGTCTTTTACTTGAAATGTTTTAAAAGTAAACATTTTATGTCTGTTTTTGTACTTGCTGTGTATGAAGGTTACGTTATATTGTGAAACTACAGATAAAAGTCTTGATGCCTTAGATAGGTTTCAAGGTTAATACCATTTAGAATGTAGAACTCGGAGTACCAAGATCTGGTTTCATATTTGCCTTATGATTTGCCTTTTCCTGAGCGTGTGTATTTATTTTACGGAAGGTATCAGTTTTGTTCTAGATTTGTATTGTAGTACTCCATGCTCCTATTTAAATAAAATAAAAACATAAAAAAGCACTTTATATTGAAGTGGAACTGTGCAATTTTGGATATAACCTACAAATTATTAGTGATTAATACATATTTATTTAGACCAGCATGTTTCTCTGTTTTTGAAGTAGTAGTTTTCCTGGAAAAGGCATAATTCTATAGTTTAAGCTAATTTATCAGTGTTTAATTTTTTTCATGGCCTTATGCCGAGAGATTTTAAACCCAGAGGGTCTATGGTAGGATACAGGTTTATCCAATGGCTCGTATGCAATCCCTTTCAAATTAATTGGACATAAATTAAACTCAAATGCGGATATGTCACGTCAAAAATAGGTGCTCCTCAGGACATAGAGCTAAATAAGGAGCAATCACCATGGAAACCAATAGAATGTTTGTTTATTAACAAAAAGCATGTTTGTTTGTTTTTTACCTAAAAAAGCATTTTGCCTTTAAAAAACCATTCACACCCTTTTTGATTATTTTTTAAGCTCGGAAAGTCTGACTTTGCTAATTTACCATTTTGGGATAAATCTTGCAATTCTGTTAGTTCATAGGCATCAGTATTTAGTGAATAATTCCATGGGGGTGTGTGTGTGTGTGTGTGTGTGTGTGTGTGTGTATGTATATGTATGTATATATATATGTGTATATATGTGTATATATATATATGTATATATGTGTGTGTATATATATATATATATATATATATATATATATATATATATATATATATAGATAGATGGCAGAGGAGTATGGCTACAGGTTTACAGAAACAAACACAATACAATAGTATAATACTGTAAATGAATGTTGAAACTGCGCAAATATAAGTAGAACTCACAAAATGTAGGTGGTAAAATCGCCTTAGGGTGCCTCCCCTATGCACTGAGCATACTAGTAGGCTAATCACATGCACACTACACATGCAGTTATCATCACTCTTTCACAGTCGTAACCTCATCTTGCCCCTCTTACTATCTTTCATCATTTTCCTGTCCACTGTGTTCTCTTCCGTCTCGCCTTTCTTTCTTGACCTTCTGTTAGTTTAACTTTGCTCTTTCCATGTCATTGTCCCTTTGCTCCTCTTCCTGTTTTATTTCTCCTCTCTCTGCCTCTCAGGTGTGTTATTTTTAATTTATTTTATACCTGTCTGTCTTTTTCCAATGATCTTCTCCTCCCGTACATTCTCTCAACTCATTATCTCCTATTTCTGACATTCCCTTGTCTGTTGCCTAATGCTCTTCTCCACACATTATTGTACAAATATCTCCCCCAGTTTCTCCCACCATGTTCTTTTTAGTGTCTGTTCTGCCCTAAACCTCTTCCCCTCCCTTTATATTTTATCCCAAACCAGTCTCTCTCTACCCGTCATTTATATTGGAATTGTACCATATTTTACAGAATATCAGATCCATCCATATATTTGAACTAGAGATTTAGAAGGGGGGGGGAGGAGGAGGAGGAGGAGGGGGAGGGGGAAATGCAAGCCATTGAATATCTTAAACCCCCTTTAATGTTTTTCCCCTTCCCCAAACCCATTTAGTGCCTCTTCTACCCACCTTCCCTTTGTGTCACTTGCACCCATGTGACTCTGACCTCCTGTTGTAAGGTGGGCACGCAGACCATGGTAAATTATCTTGGTTATCTTAAAATCAGTCTGACCGGAGGATGTTTGCCAAGAGGCCACATTACACATTTACTGGTGGGAGGGAGAATCTATATGCACCCCTCTCCTACCAGTCACCCTGACGAGTAGGGACTAGAAAATATTTGATAGATTAAGTTGATGCTTCAGTGAATAAGTGTAGTTTCTCAGGGAAGGCATTGATGGCCAGACAGGTATCTCAAGGTTAAGAAAAGGTACTGCAGGGAAAGAATTAGAGATGCCCATCTGAAGAATTGAGAAGATGTTGCCCAAAGGCCTGCTGTGCAGATATACAAGCGGGTGCTGCAGTTAGAGCTAGCACAGTGGACAGAGCTGTGTGAGAGGAACTGATGGAGCAGACTATACAGAACATATTTCTGCCTTTGTATTCTTTTTGCTAGTGCAGTAGCCCACACAGGAAACCATGAAAAGAATTACATCGGCAGATAGCACAACCATATCAAATGGTTGCAAGATGTTAAATTATATGTTGGTTTTGTCTTGGATTAAGAAAATATACTGCTGTAAACTCCCTTTATGAAATGAATTTATATAGTAATAGAAAGTAACAATTTCATAATTATTTCAATTACATCACTGTCTCATTCTTTGTGACTCATCACCTCGCAATGAAAATGTCTGTCTGTCCGCAATGCCAACCATGCTGCTCTGCTTACTTATTGTGTGCAGTAACCCAAGTTAAAACATGTTAGATGTTATGGGTAGTCCCATCTACACACATTTATTCTGCTTTAGTTTGTTTAATCAACAATGCTCCCCACGTTGGATTGCTCTTACCGGTTTCAGAATAAACAGTCCACCCATGGCTTCGTTACTGTAGCAGTCACAGTTTATTTTGGCATGTTTATGAATGGATTTTAATGTGATCATGTCTGCTACACAGGACACTGCAGACCCAGCAATAATAAGTTTCATTTATTAAAAAAAAAAAAAGTAAATAAAGCCATCGTTACCTGTTCTCGTTCATAATTTTCATGAATGAAGCCAAGAGTGAGATGATTTAAAACTATTGTAGGAAGCTGAACTACAACTACTGTAACCCATTGCTTTACAAGGATTTTGGGATAAACTTGGTGCACCTATAGAAATGTGATATTTCATGATGTTTTCCCAGTATGATATTTTCTCTCTAGTTTTCTAGCTTTAGTTGGGAATATTTAACTTACTTTTGTTTTTTCGTTTTTTTAATTTTAATTTGAAATTGCACATTTTCAGATTTAACCCCTTAAAGACACAACTTCTGGAATAAAAGGGAATCATGACGGAATATTTCCATCATGTGTCATTAAGGGGTTAACTTTATTGTTTGTTTTTTTTGTTTTTGTTTTTTTAATTCAATGAATAGCATATCAGCAGGTAGGCCAGGTCCTCCTCAAGTATAATCATCATGTGTACGCAGCGATGTATTTATCATGTCACTGGAAACTGGTAGGAGCTAAATTCTGTGGCTGAACTCAGCAGTGTATTGTGCAGGTTTTTAAATTTATTTATCTTTCTTACTTTAAAGTTTTCGTGTCACTACTACTGAAACAGGAACACTTCTCTAATAGTATATTATGTAGATTCAATCTGGATTTAAATATTGACCCCTTTCCGTCAGGATACCTGTCATCACAGTTTATTTTTTATTTTTTATTTTTTTATTGTATTTGTTTATTTTAAAGCCACATGCATTGTGTAAAATCATTAGCTGTAGAGAGCTTTAGAGAAGCTTCCTCTGACAGGCTGAGGCACCTCCTTTCCTGGGATTAGGTAGTCCGGTCTAAGTGAGAAGCCACCATGTGAAGTTTGTCTTTCTACTTGCAAATCAGCTGCCAAATGGGTCTCTTGTCCTAGTAATTTGTGTTTTTAGGTTTTTACTTTGTGATATAAATATATATCTCTCTCTCAAAAAGTTTTTGGGGGCACACCCAGGACATGCATCTTGCAGGAATGGTGGTGCTGTAGTGATCAAAATATATACAGATTAAGGAACAGCGCACACATAAAAATACATGTCAAAATTTTATAAGGCTACTTAAAATCACCCATCTCCGCAAACAAATATGAGGATTCAGTTCCACCATATGGCCATATTGTGTTAAGCCCACCACTACTTCATAGTACCCCAATATCGGTGGGTCCTTCACAGGGCCGGTGCAAGGATTTTTGGGTACATAGGCGAAGATGCCTTTTTGGGGGGCTGCTGGGAGGTGTGCGGCTGTGGTAGAATCAGAGGTGGCGAGGGAACTCGGATCTCCCTGCTCTGCTCCCTCGCGGGCTGTCTACTGATGCCGAGAGCCGGAATATGACGTCATATTCCGGCTCCCACTGCATCAGCAAGGGAACAGGGAGATTAGAGCTCCCTCACTGTCTCTGATTCTACCACAGCCGCACGCCGGGGGGCCATAACGTGGCCTATTAGGAAGGAGTGCTTCACTCCTGCCGGTCACTAGAATCTTGCGCCCTCAGAGCCACCTCATGGACGTGCCGACTCTGGTCCTACACTAATTCCAACATGGGAGACAAATTAAACTGTGCTAGTGAGAAATATTGACGTATAATACTCATAAATGTCTTAATCTGCAATATATTTTATTATATAAAATAACATTTTGTATAAAAAAACAAACAAAAAAACTTGTATATCACAAGTTACCATTTTTCCAATTTTTTTTACTTGCATAAATTATATAGATATTCTGCAAGCTTCCTATTTAAGAAGGGTATTATATAACTTCAGTCTCAAGGATTTCTTCTTTCTTATTCTTTGCAACCAATCATTAAACACACATACACAGAGAAAGATGTGCATATTATTTTTTCTTTTTTTCTTTAGTGGAGTGATTCGTTTCAATGTACATCAGGCACAGCATGGTAAGCTGAAAAAATTGTTTTTCATTTTCAGCGTGGCAGTCTTGTGCGACGTTTTATTAGGGATGTATTAATAGTATTTTTATCCTCTATTGAGTCTGTTGAAATAACTATCGGTTGAAAAACCTGCAGTGAAAATTATGATGGTATCGGGATTATTCACTAAAGGGAGAACTGTCAGGAAGTCAAGGTGAATTTAAAATTTAAGGCCAATATAACCAATCTAAAAACAGAATTGAGTAGGAGTATGCTCACTAAGCTGTTATTTGAGTAAGTGTTCATAGTATGTAATATTCTGCTCCCTGTGTCCACAGTGCTTCACAGTACGTGCGATCGAGGGGGGCACTATGAGATACTATAGTGCTAAGAATCTAATTTTGTATTGTAGCACTATAGTTTTTCTTTAAGTCAAAGGACACATCCTGTCAGAGGAGATACTATTCCTGTTTCTCTTCCCCCACTAACTGTATTCTCTTCTGGCCATTGATTGTCTCCACCTCCAGCAGGATATTTGAAGCTAGTTGTTGAGAGATCTTGTGCAGACTAACAGGTACTAAGGCTCTTTGTTTAATGGTCAACGCTTAGGACAGTGATTGACGGGGATGGTGACGTGATGATGAAGCTATACTTTGTGTGTGCAGTGTTTCTTTAAACTGTTTCTTTAAACCTCACACACGTTCTATTATTATACTTGTATCATTTTAATTGTTGCTCATTACAGTCAGTGATTTCTCTTAGCTTTGTGTACCACCCATTCTTACCAACTCTTGCTGCCTATTTATGTGTTCCGAATCGCTTCTAATGATGGTCTAGTCCAGGGGTAGGCAACCTTTAGCAGCACTGTGCTGAAATAGGATTGTGATGTCCCGTAGTGTGCCGGTCCTATTTATTTATTTAGAGGTGTGTATATTGCCATATTCTGCTTGTTATTTGTACAGCAGTTGCTTTGTATCGTTGTATTTGTCCGAATATGAGCTATTATATTGTATATGTTCATGAGTAGTTGGTGCTATTGTGTATGATACCTATGAATGGGGGCTGATTGTGGAATTGTGTGGGTGGGTGGATATGTAACATTGTGTGTTTGGTAGTGTGTGTATGTGTGGGGCTGTTTGGGGTATTGCATGTGAGAGGCTGAATGTGGGGTTGTGTGCATGTGTTGTTAGTGGTGCTGAGTTTGTACGGATTGTGTGTATGTTTTCTTGTGGGCTGTTGGTATTATTTGTATGAGGGGAGGGTTATTCTGCATTTCTGTGTATATCTAGCAGTGTGGGTGGCTTCCCTGGGTTCCAGTGGGGACCAGGCTGGCCAGGTACAGGTGAAGGACAGGAGCTGCAACAGCTCCCTATCTGGAGAGCTGGCGTGGATCTGTCCCTGGGGTGCAGTGGGGCTGCTGGAAGGCATGCGGCTATGGTAGAATCAGAGGCAGCAAAGGAGCTCTGATCTCCCTGCTCTGCTCCCTCATATTCCGGCTTCCGCAGCATCAGCAAACTGCGCTGCCTCTGATTCTACCACAGCTGCACGCCGTGCCAGGGGATCCAGAAGGTGGCCTGGTAGGAGGGAGCACTTCCCTCCTGCCGGTCACTGGAATCTTGCACCCCCAGAGCCAGTGGGCTCTAAGGCAGCCACCTGTGCCACCTTATGGACGTGCTGGCCCCGGGAAGGGGGCTCTTTTTAAAGAGATGTTTTGCTATAAATGTTCAAGGTGTGAATGCCCAATACATTCTCTGCAGGAGGAATATTTGTATTTGTTTTAACAGCACAACAGTGTGTCCTTGAATTATAAATGAACAATTTGCTGCACACTTTTTTTGTTTATATTTTATTCCGCTGTTTATATATTGTAGCATTTTTGTTTTTGGTTTTTTTAGCACTGACTAGACATTTGTGTCACAGTATATTTTATGACTGAGTCGTAGGACAAATTTGGTTCACAATTATCATTTATATTGCACTAACCTATTCTCTAGCGCATCACAATTATAGAAAGGGAATAATAACGGTAAAGAGTTTTCTGCTCAAACGATTTTACAATCTATGAACGTGCTCTCCTACCACACATTTATAGAAAATCCGTCCTTTGGAATTTGAAATGTATTTTGCAATTTATTGGAATTAATGCTCTTGGTTTTATAAAGGGGTTTGTCGATAAATTTGTTTTCCCTGTGAAGACCACATTGTTATAAGTATCTGATTTAAAGTAGTTTTGTTTTAGCAAGTTTTTTTGGGGGGAGGAGGTAATTGAAAACACACTATATGACAAGTTTTCTCTCAATACTCCTGGCCTGTTTTGCGGCAGGCTAATATAGATCTTATATATTCTTCTCATCCTCAATCTCGTAGCATTCTGTAATGTTATTAAAAATCCCGATTTGAGAATATGAGGCGAATATTTCACATACTTCTAGTCCTCCTACGGGTATAGGCAGATAGCACCCATCTGGGCCTTTTTATTACATTTTAAGAAACTTGATCATTCTAAATATAGTTGTTGGTTTTTTCTTTATTCTATTTACTAAGTTATTTTTTTTTTATGTATCTGTTCATATATTTGACAATGCCGTACAAAAGGTAAATTTAAATTTTCAATAAATCTTGGCATGTGGGAATAAGCTGCACTGCTTCCACAATTTGGAACCGTGGAAAAGGGTGTATTTAAAAAAAATAAAGACAAAATGTAATGTGTTTTTAGTAGGAAACACTTCTCACCAAATGTATTTAAACCCTTAAGGACCAAACTTCTTGAATAAAAGGGAATCATGACATGTCACACATGTCATATGTCCTTAAGGGGTTAAGCCATACTGACCAATAAACATTACTGGCATACATTATTTGTATGTATTTGCCGTGTTAAAGCGATAAGGGATATTTTGTAACTAGCTAGAGCTATGTGATTTTAAGTGGCTGTGTCACCTTTCCTAGAAACCAGAGTACGTCATAAAGATAAAATCTTCAAGCAGTACTCAGATTGACTGTGTTGGTATTTCAACGCAGTCTAAAGCTATACTAAGACAAAATAAGGACTGATCTGTCTTATGTTTATAAACATAATGGACTTTAGCCCTTTTTTAACCTAGACTACTAGGTAACTATGTAACTACATTCTCCCTGTGCGTAACAAAACTCGTCGAAAGGTTGAGCTACATCTATCAAATTTTGCAGTTTCACTAGTAACGGCTCTGGGGGGAAAAGGCATTGTCTATGGAAGTTTCTGCAGGATCCTCCATAGACCTTAACACAGCACTGCCATAGGCTCCTACACCAGATGATGGTGGTGGTGTCGGCTGTGAGGGACAGCTTCAGGTAAGTAAAACGTACTTTCCCCTGCACACTCAGGCCACCAAGCTGCAAGCTACGATGTCACCAACAGCTGTCCTCATATTTTCACTTCTTTAAAAGATATTACATTTAATGAAATGTAATTCTATATTTTTTTAAATGATGTATATTAATTGATTCCCACACACACTTTTTTTTTATCTGGCTGAGCAGCCATGTTGTGTCTGAGTCTACTGTTATCTGACCAATTGCTTTTCAACCCAACTTCCCCGCTGCAGTGATTGCTCTGTGTGAAAATGTAGAAGCAGGCCCGTTAGGTTGAGCAGCAGTTGCTCAGATAACAGTAGAGTCTGACCTAAAATGGCTGCTCAGCCAGATAAACAAATATACATCATAATAAAATATATAATTAGGTTTCATTACATTTAATAAAAATTTTAAAAAAAAAATAAAAGTGAAAATGTGATGACTGTTGTCCTTAAAAGGCACACTCCTGACCCCTTAAGCACTTTATCTTGCTGAAATGCATAAAGGGTAATCTCTTGTAGTGGTACATTTCATGAACAATTACACTCCCAACCTATTGACACCACCTCCTCTCCGTTAGCACCCCATTTAAGAAATGACTCAAGATAGCAGGCTGGAGGGAAAGGCCAATGCTGGTCACGTTAATTTACATCACCAGGCCATCAAAAGCGTTCAACGGAGCAACCATAAGAGAAATATATAAACTTAACTTAATTAAGTAGGGTGGCGGCACTGAGGGACCAACTACACTGCTTTGCCAACAAGAGGATGTGGCTCAACCTTATTCTGCATCCATAGTATCCGCCCAAGCATATCTTTGGCGAAGCCAGCCTACCAAGGAACTGTGGCTGGGTGCCCCAGACCAGCCAATGCCAGAGAGGGAGAAAATCCCAGCCACCTTGCCACTGTCACACCATCTCTGCAACTAAATCCCAAGCCGTATCCTCCTGGTCTAGAGGGAAGGCAAAGACAATCCCACGCAATAGGGTCAACTTAATATCCAGGCCAAAACAAACCAACAGGTTCAGCTTGTAGGGGTAAACTAACAAACGGGCTACTCCCAGTGGCAAATTTGACTAAAAGGAAAACAGCAGAAAAGGGAAGGGAGGGAGAGCTTGAGAACTATTTAGGATCCACAGACTGAGAACAGGAATGGTGAGTCTTCATATATGTTAAAGGAAGTACCACAACATGAAACAATGTTGCAGTTCACACCTGGGGACAAACCCCCTTAATTTATCTCTTGGCACACTATGGGTCTCAGCACTCACATTGTGTCGTCATTTTTTTTTTTCTCCTCCATTTTACAAATTGAAGATTTTAATACAAATTGGCACAGTATTATTATTATTATTATTGCCATTCCTATAGCACCAACCGATTCTGTAGTGCTTTACAATATTACAAGAGGGGGAGATTTAACAGTAAACGAGACAAATACAGAAACTTACAGGAACAAGCTTACAGTCTAGAGGAGATTACACTAGAACAAGGTGGGAGCAAAGCAGAGCTGGAGGAGGGAGTGCTGCCTTTTAGGAGAGAACAAGGGACAAGTATGTGAGGTAGAGGTTACTCTTGGAGACTATAAGCTTTTCTAAAGAGATGGGTTTTAAGGCACTTTTTAAGCGATTGAAGACTAGGGTACAGTCATGGTAGTAGGAAGGCTATTCCAAATGAAAGGAGCTGCCCACGAGAAGTCCTGCAGGCGTGAGTTGGCTGTACAGGTGTGAGCAGTGGGCAGAGGTTCTAAATTAACCTTATCAATAAGAGAAACTGGTCCTGTTACTGGTTTGGTTAGCTCAGTGGAACTAAAGGCAGCAATTGAGCTGCATTGCAAAGTCTGTGATTAGACATTCACAGAAGTTCTGGGTGGGGTTAGAAGGGGAAGGCTTGCAAAGGCAGCAGACAAGAGAGCTGAATCTGCATTGCAGTGAACTCTTTTTTTCAATATTGCTACATTAACCCAGAGCATGCCTCAGTTTGGCTGTGCCCAAAAGGGTTAATATTTTGAACCAGTAACTTTCTCATTAGTTTCTCCAGCACAGGGGGTTGGCTGCCCCTATTTTTTTATTCACAATGATTGAAAATAGTTGGAGAAAAAGCTTGACCTCTACAACATGCTGTATCCTATCTATATGAAATAGTTCCTTGTTGGCAGGATGGAGTTCACGCTTTGTTAGTGCAACTGCTAAGAAATACTAGAACAACAGAAATTAATTATTACACCCCCATCCCATACTGATTTCATGCACACGACTTTGGCAAGAACAGGAATATTATTTTAGAAAACCTTCTTTCCAGATGATGAATTGATATCGTAAACTAAAGTGACTGTTTTCCCTGCGTTTACAGTCCCATGGTCTGGGTGTTAGATTCAGGAATGTCTTGATTCCGCGATATGAGATAATTGCTCCAGTAAGACTGATCTGTGCTGGTAACAGGACCATATAACTCACTGCACTGTAATCTGTTGCAGACCTGTCTGTTGTGAATGAAGCACATTAATCAAAGTAATTGCTGTGAGCTATTTTACAGACACAAAAGCTCAACACATAACATTGTTTGGCTAGAGGTACTAGTAACACAACTCTTTAACCATGCTGGTCAGTGCCTGTGCTGAGCATCTGTTCAGTAACAAAAGTAACCGCTTAGCATGTCATAACATGCCTTGTAAACATGCACAAAGACAAGAGCATCTCTACATTTTAGCATCTCTACATTATACATTTTACTACACTAATAATTTTAAAAACTCAAAATATGAAAAGAATACCCCCTACAAGTTCCCTGTAGTGCATTGTTTGCATGGGTAGCTGCAACAGCTGTTGACCACTCCCTGAACAGGAAGAGGTTGTACCAATCAGGAGCCTCTCATTTTTTATTTTTTTTCCTATTCTATGCAATAAATCACTGCCAGTTAGATGCATTCATTGTTGTTCAGGGAGCAAGGACATCAAATGCGTTAAGACTGTGCATTTTAAAAAGAACCTCTAGTGGCTGTCAGCCTGGTGTGAATTTGGACTAATGTAAACATTGTTGTTACTCAGAATTGCAATGTTGTACATTGTCCAAAAAAATTGACCGCATCTCTACAGCCAAACCACTTTATTAACAAATATTGTTGCCTCATTCATTTATCACTAAACCTAAAACCATATTATACTTGACCTAATGTCTTTTTTACTTTCTCATATATGGAACCCTCCAGGCTGCCACAAATAAGGGTGTCAAGCTCAGGGGCTTTAAAAAAAAAACAAAAAAAAAAACACTTTATATATACATGTAATCCAGTACTGTAACTCAACGTGAACTAGATGTGAACTAGATCTATTGATAAAGCAGTATAATATAATTTGGAAACTGAATTTATGTAAAATGTTTAATGCATTTTTTTTCTTCTTCTAGAAAATCATGCCGCTTGGATAGGTCGATTTCTAATCTATTTATTGGTGGAGACAGAACAAAGCCATGGCAGACCTCCTCACACCTACAGCCTCCAAACCGCCAGATCTTTGTTCTGAGTGTGGACAACCTCACCACATCAACGAGAACCACATTTACAACTTCCAGGATGAAGTGGACGATGAACTGGTCTGCCACATCTGTCTTCAACCCCTGCTGCAGCCTATGGACACTCCTTGCGGTCACACCTACTGCTTCAGGTGCTTGAAAAACTTTTTGAAGGAGAAGGACTTTTGTCCAATGGACCGCAAGAAGCTTTGCTTCCAGGAATGCCATAAGTCCAGCCTACTAGTCAGGAATTTGTTGGACAAACTGACTGTGATCTGTCCTCTTCTGGCAGAATGTAAGCATGTCATGCAGCGCTGTGAACTGGAGCCTCACCTACGCAACAGGTACGTACACTCTTCATCTTGTCCACAAAACAATGCTGAGATTATCTGAGAATGTAAAGTAGAAATCCATTTTTTGTAAAAAAAAATTTTTAAATAAATGTGGCCTAAAGTGGTGATCAGAAACTATATAATTGGGTCATTGAAGAGGCCAGGCTAATTTAATGAGCATTCGTTGACAACCTTCCATTATCAATAGTATTACCTCCTTTGCTTACAAAGTGTTTTTGGGAGTTTAGTGGCCGTGGGGTGCAGTGGAAAGTAGGTTTACTTGCCTGAAGCTGCCCCTTGCCCTCAGTAATCTTCTTCCTAATGGACCCTCTTCAGTTATTGGTACTAAATCTGCCAGGATCAGTCATATGTGAGAGTGCAACACTGAGATCTGTGGAAGAGACTGCGGGAACCTCCACAGATCACACCTCGCGGTTAGTGAGATGGTGACTAAATCACACAGTGGTTGCTCTGATATCTGCTGGAATTGGACAAAAGTTGACTTTCGAGGACTGCCTTTTGTTAACCTCTGGCTAGTCCCTACTTTGTTTTGTTTTATGGGATCTTTGGGTTGGGTTGGAATTTCAGTGAAATTCCGTAATGTTAACTTTCACTTACCGATTTCTCTTCTTCCACCTCTCAGCACCCCGATAATATGATATAGTGAACTTTCAACGTTTTCCTCTGCACTGAGCATTTACTACTGAAAATTACAGCTAGCTCTTGCTTGAAGTTTAATGTTGGCTTGTGTAATATTGACTCTCACCGAAATTTGTATTTAAAAACTGTTTGGGAAGGTAAAGGTGCTGCCAGATGAATCCGTCTTTGCCTAGTTTACTGATTATATTTACATTAGATAATTCAGTTCAAATATAGGGTGTGGTACATTAAATAGCTTAATGTGCCTTCCTGTGGAGATGTGGTTTCGGTGATCAGTAAACTCTCTACAGCGTGGTTTGCCAGCTGCACCTACAACTCCCGCCATTCTCAGTCAGCTTCCAGCTAAAAGGTGTGAACCCGTCAGCACCTGGGTTCTTTAGTTTAATTTGCAGCCACCTACTCATGACTTGGTGCTCGTTTAGTGGGTGTTTTTTCTATGTTTCTACTACTTTAATGTTGCTGAAAGCCCAGCTTTGCTAATATTTTTATTAAAATACTGTCATTTTATTTAATTGTGGTCTATTTGAATTCAGCTCCTTAGGTGCTTGCTGTGTAGTGGCAAAGCTGTCTGTCTGTATGTTCTGTGTTTACTTCAATCACTGCCTTGTTGGCAGATCTTCAAAGTGGGCAAAGTTCTGCTTTTCCTCTTTAACAATGCATTGATAAGAGAACGTCTGAGGAATTTTTACTCCGCAATTATAAAGGTGTGACCAGGTCGTTCTGCATAATATACTGCAGGTTTTATTTAAAGCTGGAAATGGCTAAATTCTTGTACTTGGATTGAAAATGTGTCTGAAAAACATAGAGTGCAAAGAGTTGTTTCAATAATTCAGACATTTTAAGCGTAAAGCGTAGTGCCTCAGGGCTCTGGCTTGGGTCTACTTCCCTGTGAGTTTGGTAATAAATTTTCTTTGTAGTTGCAAGAGATAAAATATAGTTAAATGCATAGAGATTTATTTAGATTTTCATAAACTTAAATCTTGGCTTAAAAGAGGCAGAAATGATTCACCCCACACAAGTGCAAGAGACGGTTATTATATTTTATTTGTACAGCATCAGAATTTTCCACCGCAACTTTACAATTATGCACACGAGGTCTGATGAAGGTCCTGTTCAAACAAGCTTCTTATCTAGGATATTAATGGTACAGAGATCTTGTCATTCAAAAAGTGCTATGACGAATGGAAAGAAACAGTTTTTTACCTCTTTATTAGTCAAGACTTTACCAAAAACCCAGTTTGAGTGTCTTGCAGGACAGTTTTGGACTTCAGAAACATCTGGGTGGGGGAGATGTTTTAAATGTATTTCTTATAATACCTTTTTCTAGTCCAACTCTATTACTTGATAAATGATCTCAGCATCTCTGTATTTGGTTCCTGTATTTGTTGCTAATATGCCTTTTATTGAGTCAAGCCTGGCCCCTAAATGCCTAGTTACATTGGTCATAGGTAAAATCCCTACCTCTGCAAGACTTAAAACACTGTGCATGCATACTCGTACAACCATGACCAGTTCAAACGACCTTTAAGTGACAGCAGCTGTAAAACTGCCTTCTCCACTGGTTCATCTATCCCTGCAAACAGGGACCAGCTATCCGCTTCTCTATTGCGATATTCTGTTATCCTAGTATTTTTCAAATATTTATAACACTTATTTGCCCTTTGCTCCAGTGCTGATTTTCACTATGCAGGAAAACAATATTCCCTGCTTCATCCCGTCTTGCCTGTATTCCTTATTTCATTATAGGTTATAGATTTGTGGTGTTGGCCAAATTACTTTACCTACTGTGATGGTCAACTTTGATGCTTATTGACTTGACTTCAGTTGTATATCTTAGGTGACCTCACAGCTCACCAGCTTACATATTACTACGGTACTTTGATTCCCTACGGTCTGATTATTTGTATGGGTTTTTTTTAGTTTTGTTTTTTTTTAAGAAAAATGTAAATGGTTAAGAGAGGAGCTAACAAAATCTAACTTTTCTTTTGCCATTTATTTTAAGGATATTTTAGATTAATTCTGAATTAAAGGGACACTATAGTCACCAGAACTACAGCTTATTGAATTTGTTCTGGTGAGTAGAATCATTACTTTCAGGCTTTTTGCTGTAAGCTCTGTCTTTTCAGAGAAAATGCAGTGTTTACATTACAGCCTAGTGATAACTTCACTGGCCACTCCTCAGATGGCTGTTAGAGATCCTTCCTGGGTCATGGCTGCCTAAAATGCATCCAAACATTCAGTGTCTCCACCCTCTGCATGCAGACACTGAACTTTCTTCATAGAGATTAATTGATTCAATTCATCTCTATGAAGAGATGCTGAATGACCAGGGCTGTGTTTGAATCATTCTGGCTCTGCCCCTGATCTGCCTCTTTGTCAGTCCCAGCCAATCCTATGGTGAAGCATTGTGATTGGATCAGGCTACCACTTCTGATGATGTCAGCAGACTGTTCGTTTTTCTGAGTCTAACAGCATGCAGAGTTACAGCTTCAGGCTTAAATACAGTAAGATTTTTACTATAGTTATGGAGGCATGAGGGGCCCAGGGGGGCTAGATGGTGGTTTTAACCTTATAGGGTCAGGAATACATGTTTGTGTTCCTGACCCTATAGTGATCCTTTTAACATGTATCCTTACAATTTTTATTTAAAGCATTTAAACCTGTTTGTCCCACTTATGACAAATTGCTGAAGTGAAAAGGACCTAGAGAGAAATGAGCCAACAGACATTTCAAACAAAGCTTTGATGCGGGTTTTATACTCCAGAATCCAACCTAGTTATGATGTATTCTACTTAACTGTTGTGTTGCATTATCGTACATATTTTGTAGGGCTACATTTACAAGGAATACTTCAGAAAGATAGTCACTTTGCACCGTGGCATTTATACACGCTACTGGTTAATAATTGCATAGTCCAGATTTGCTTACCAGTCTGTAAATATAACACTGTGTTTCAGGTCTAACCATGTGTTTGCCACATGATGCAGGTTGAACTTGAACCCTCTGGGTAGAATACAGAGTACATCTAACATATTGTAATGAATTCCTTTGGTCTCTCCAGTGGCAATCTGTGTGTACTGCACTAAACCAGCACAGATCATTTATTCAATATATTATAAATATTCATAAAAGGGGTACATTTTGGAAAGGCCACCCTTTTTTTTTTATTTTTTTTAATTTTGTGATAGTTTTTACTTTTATTTACAGTGAAATTGATGTTTAAAAGATATATGACCAAGAGGTGTGCACTTTTGTGAAGCCTTTGGACTGAGGTCCTTTGAAATGATCAGACTGTGTATCAGGCTACTGAATTAATTTAGAATTTAAACAAAGGGCAAAATACCATGTAAATGTCAAACGTTGCTTGAAAAGTATATCTGAAAACCATAGGTCCCAGAAAAGTGTGTGGGTTTTTTCTTGTTTTTGTTTTTTTTTTTTGGTCATAGAACTTTGGTCATAAAATAATACCAGGAACTCCTTAAACTCTCTTGTAAGCTGAACTGAGAAAGACCGGATTTCCTTTTCAGTGGTTCTGTATATGCTGTAGACTTATAGCACATGCATTATTTGTATGCTTGGAGGAACAGTGGAGACGCACATCACCTCTCTCCGTAGCCCATCTCGTAGGATATTGGTAATGGAAGAGGGTAAGAATTAAGGATAATGGCCACAAAAAGCAAATGTGTTTTTATTGCTTAGTGTGATGTCCCCATGATGCAGGGGATCTGACAGGCAAATCACTTAATGTATGTATTGCCTTTATTTTTACCTGAAAGAGTGGTTTAAAATTGGTATAAAACACATTTAGTAAAATGGGTCCGCAAGATATAGCATTTAAAATGGAACTAAGACTTACATGCTCTTTACTTGTCCTACATTGTAATTTAAAGGATGATCGCTTTGCGTCTATTGTAGGTGCGTTGGCTTCAAGAAATACAGAGCAGAGACAGAAAGAAAGCGGAACCCACTCTCCATGGGGAAGGAACATCAGGATGCACAAACGCAGATGCCCCAAGCAAGTGGAGTCTCCGATATTTTAGCTGAATCTTCTATGGCTGCTATTGTAGCTCTTGGAACGTCTGAGCCTGGTCTGGTGAATCCAGCATTCGATGAGCAGGATGATGGTGAGAATTCTGAAACTATTTTATTTATTATTCAGGGGCATTAGTGCAGAGTACTCGTATGTCTGTCTACATGGCTCAATATTTATTTATTTTTTAAATCTTTGATTATAGATCATCCTCAGAGGACAAGTCTGGTAGCAGAAACAAACACCATTGAAATACGTCGAAATGACCCTGAGGATGAGCTTGGGATGCGGATTGTGGGTGGTCGGGACACACCTCTTGGGAACATTGTAGTTCAAGAAGTTCTGAAAGACTCACTGGTGGCCACAGATGGCAAACTGACACCTGGAGACCACATCCTGGAAGTAAGTAACATTAACCAATAATATTGTATATGATGATTTGGTCTGACAGTGTCTACAGGGGACACCGTTTTATCCACTTGCACATTTTCATCCTGACATGGGATCTTTGCAATTAGTTATAGAAATTGTTTATCGAAATTGCATCTCACATTTGGGTGTAACACCTCTTGATCAATGCCTCCAGGCACCAACAAGATGCAATTGGAAATCTGTCTGTCACCAAACAATAATGAAATTCACACCTACGGAAAGTTGTGTACTAAGTTGTTTATCCACATGAAACAGTTTTTTTTTTTTTTTAAATTGAAATGTTTTTTTAAAGAAAAGGGAAAACCACTTTCCATGCCACTGTGCAAAGTCTAACTGACTTTAACATGTTTCATTTTTTTGTTTTGTCTTTTTGTACCATAATTTGTTTCCACTTTCGGCACATCTGTGTTCAGTCAGTGCAGCGATCCTTGTGTACTTCAGTTATTCACTAGACCTCTTCTCAGCCTGCACTCTGCACGTCAGACTGGTCCATGATGGAACTCTCTATCTCTGAATCCTTCACTTTCACAGTTAAGCTAAACTCACAGATCCTAGCATTTCACGTGTGGAACATAACCCTTGCTCACGGTGCCTAGAGAGATATCAGCTATGCCTCACTGATGATGCCTAACAAGGCTGAAACGATCGTCTGAGGTTGCTGTGTCTCTCTTGCAGAGGGCAGGCTATATCAGTTGCTGTCCGTTCTCAGAATACTCTTGCAACCCGTTTCTTTTGCTCTGGAATATAACCACTTTTGTTTGGTCCATAAAATAATTCTAAATGTTACCAATTTGAAACACACATAAGCCTAGCAAGTGCAGTTCATTGTTTTGCAGTGTTAAGATATGTTGTGCCCTTTCTTATACATAGATATCTATTGCTAGCCGTGCCTCCTTGGCACACACAGCAACAGCTTGACACAACCTTTACGCCCAACTTCAGCCAATCACTATCTCATTTTCCTTGCTGCTACGTATTGAGGGCTTGCAGCAGAAGCAATGAGTGGGCAGGAATACTCAAAAATGATTGCAACAGCACAATCCATTTTTCTTTTCCTCTCTGTAGAATATCTTTAATTTATAAGTGCTTGTATTGCCTCTCTATGGTAATATAGACATTTTCTTGACATTGTTTTTTTGAGGGAAAAAAGAGAGAAATTATTACAAACCATTAGTATTTTGAAAATATGCATGCAAAGTCAAATGATTGCGCTGTGTATGCTTTTTATAATTCTGTAAGATGTTGGCCATGCCTCCCAAGTGTCTGTATTTGTCAATAACTGTCCCTATTTTGGGCCAAAATTTACAAATGTGTTTAGAAATCAGTCTGGTAATTAAGATACATTGTTCTTGTTTTAAATTACATTTTAGTAGCATACATTTTTATTAGTAAGTCACCTAAAAAACTTCAGAACAGCCCAGCCCTTGCCACCCCTAAAATGTTCCTCTTTGTCCATATGAAATGTTGGGAGGTATAATGTTTGCTTAATATACAGATATAATTCAAGAACAAGGTTTCTGTTGTGACGAGTCATTAATCTTAAGTTAAGAGTTTACAGAGCCACATGGTTTTCGTAAATAGGACACTTGAGTTAATGCTTTACAAACTACCGTTTTGTTAGTTTATACAGAAATTTTCCAAAGCTGGTAGCTGTTTCTTTAGGTTTTTACCTGCTATGTAACGGAAAACGGTCATAATTTGTTATGTAAATTAACAGCTTGCACTTATTGTACTCCTCTGTGCTGTTTTGCAATGCATGCATGTAAATGCCCAATTTCTATGTATTTGCTATCTTACCCATGCTCCAAGGACAGCCATATTTAAAGCCATCTTTGGTCAGAAGCACATCTAATCCAACACTAAAACTGTGACGTTAGTCAAGAGCTAGCATGCGTTCATGAATCCAGGCATCATGCACAAGTGCACTGTCTGAAAGTTTTAGACTTTCAAACTTTGTTTTAGCAGATAACTGGTGCTTTTGACCAAAGAGGGTTAAAAATGGCTGCCCCCACTGAGTAAATGCAAGCCAGCATGTAAAGTGGGACCGGTCAGCCTGCCATGGGAGCGTTAGTTTCACAGATGCTTTGGCTAGCCCAACTCAGGACAGACCATGTGTATAGCAATCTTGGTACCCTCCGGTTATTCTGCATACCATGCCACATAAGGAAGACCTCAATTTCAAGACACCCATTTCTTTTGATCTTCTTTTTAGGTCAATGGAATGAACATCAGCAACGTGTCTCATAGTCAAGCCATTGCCCTGCTTCGCCAACCCTGTGCTGCCCTGTACCTCACAGTACTCCAGGAGAAAGGTTTCTCTCAGAGATCTTTACATTCAGAGAGCAGCAACTCTTCCAGTGCCAACAAGGAAGTAATCCATGTCACACTAATGAAGAGAGATCGCACTGAGCCACTTGGCATCAAGCTGGTCAGGAAGACAGAGGAAACTGGAGTCTTTGTTCTCGATCTGTTAGACGGTGGCCTGGCTGCAAAGGATGGCAAGTTAAAGTGTAACGACAGGGTTCTGTCCATCAACGGGCAGGATCTGAGGCAAGGAACACCTGAAACAGCCGCACAGATTATCCAGGTAATAACCTCTCTGAATCACAAGCAGCAGTGAGACTCTCAACCACTGATATCTCTCAATGAATTGTGACATACAAGTCTGTAAATCTAAATGGTAATATGCATCAACGAACAGTCATAACAAGTACAAATTAGGGTTGATGAGGGTACTTTATAGGAGACTTTTAAAGGAGTATTCTGTGGTTTCATTTAAATATATTGTTAATCTTACAGGATTTTCACTAAAGTGTAAATTCAAAGTGAATTTCAAATTTGATGCCAAATTATTGAACTGGAAGCATAGTTGACTTAGAGAATTTTTGCAGTTCAGCTCTTGTGACCTTAAATATTCACTTTGAATTCTCACTTTTGTGAATAACCCTGTAAGTGTGTTGCTATATAGTCGTAGAATCGAGTCTTTTATTTTTTTACAAAATTTTAAAGTCATTAAATGCACCTTTTATTCCAGTGTTGATATGGATTTGTTTCAGCTGCTCAACCTTTCGTGAAGTCATGAGGATTGCTGACTGTTGCCATTCTCTATGAGATGGATTGGGGACCTGTGGTGCATTAAAATATATTATTATATCATGTCTTCACTGAAATGACCGTATCCTGAATTCTGTTTTACAAACGGTTTGTTTTTGGTTTAGATGAGTGAAGCTCGAGTGAACTTTGTGGTCCTCAGGCAGGTTGCAGCTCAAGCCATGGATATAAGTGAAGAGGGGACTTCTTCTGGTAATAGCAGCAGCAGCAGCAGTGGTGGGAGCCCTGTACTTCCACGCAAGAGGCCAAATCAGCGTCCATATAGAAGAAAATCCACAAACCAAAAAGTAAAAACATTAAAAATAATACTGGTTTGTTTTGGGGTTACTTTATTTTTCCGGTAAAGTGTAAAGTTAAAAATTACTATAAAGTTTCGGTAAAACGTAATCAGATCATTAAAAAAAAAAAAATTTTGTTTTGCAAATTTTTACTAGTTTAGAAGTTTAGATTTTTTTTTTTTTATACAACTAACTTGTAATTGCATTAAACCGCCTGCACTCTGCGATTTTGAATATAAACGAATGTAATTAAAGGGACACTATAGTTACCCAGACCACTTCAGCTCAATGAAGTGGTCTGGGTGCCAAGCATTGAGAAATGCTTTCCTATGGACACTGAATGCGTGCGCGGCACTTGTCGCGCATTCAGCTCCGCTAACGTCGGCAGGGGAGGAGAGGTCACCAGCGCCGAGGGAGCCCGGCGATGGATTAAGGTAAGTGGCTGAAGGGGTTTTAACCCCTTCAGCACCACGGTAGGGAGACCCTGAGGGTCGCTTTGTTTTCTTGATATTATAGTGATCATTTAAATGAACCATGTGTTTACCAAAGTAACAAATGCCCAGTTACCTGTTCTGTGACTTTTGCACCAGGACAAAAATCTATTTCAGTTCTTATCCACCCAGTTGCTGACCCTTGGTTACTTGTTCCGTGGAATAGCATTACCTGTTCGTTAACCATTTTGTCGGAAACCCCGTGGTAGATGAGGATTGTGGGAGATCAGGATCTGCAACAACTGAAGAGCTACCTGATATAGTACAACATGAACATCATTAACAGAACTTTGTTAATGAGTAAAATAATGAAACATCTTGTTAACTTCTTTAAACGCGTTTGAAACTCAAATAAGCGCAAACATTAAAATGTAGAATGGATGAGCTACAGAACTGGGATAACCTAAGGTATTTTATATACATCCATGCCAAAGCACTTTAAAAGCTAAACCATGGCATCCAGTAAAAGAATTATTGTCAAAACATGAATTGTTTCACAATCCTGGAAGCTGTTTTAATTTCAGTCATTAAGCTCTTTGTTAAATGTTGTTCTTTTCAAAGCAGGACATGCCTCAGACTCTCTATGGCGTAGAGAAGGTTGTTACGGTAAAGAAAGAGCCAAGGGAATCTCTTGGAATAACCATAGGAGGTGGACGGGATCATAAAAACAAGCTTCCCATCTTTGTGTCCAGTATTCAGCCAGTTGGATGTTTGTACAGAGATGGCAGAATCCGCAGAGGTAACAATCTGAAACATGGCCTAATCCTATTCTAATTTGCTAAGTTTTGCGCAGTGGTATTATGTGGGGTTTTTTTTTCAGGTTTTGAGACAGAATCTCAGAAGTCTATGTCCCATTAGTTTTGCAAACAATATGGTAAATTGCAGTACAATATAATCAGAGGGATCAATGTATGTATATAATATCCAAATCTTAATCTTGATTCTGCTGAAAAACTACTGGTAGTTGGATGTATGGAAATTGTAAGGAGAGATACCTGGAAAATATTGATATATTAACTCTAAAGTAGAACACTGCATAGAATATGGTAGTAAATTGGTTCTGTAACCGCAGCTGGTTCCCTTATTTACCACTATAACATCTTAAAGCATAGAACTTATTAGGGCTAACCATACAGATTTCTTAGCCATAATTTTATATAGTTAGTGTAAGAGATCCTCTATTTAACATATATAAATAATTGAGAATACAATATAAAATAAGGATTGTCTTGGAAGCAGGAACGTTTTGTCTTTTTGATATTTATTATATAAACGTAGACATGAAATCCATTACAATAATTTATAGCAGAGTTTATAAGATTAAACTAAATGTTTGCAAATATCATTAATAGGTTAAAGGACCACTATAGTGCCAGGAAAACATACTCGTTTTCCTGGCACTATAGTGCCCTGAGGGTGCCCCCACCCTCAGGGACCCCCTCCCGCCCGGCTCTGGAAGGGGGAAAGGGGTAAAAACTTACCTTTTTCCAGCGGAGAGCCTCCTCCTCTCCTCCGTTGCCCGCCGGCTGAATGCGCACGCGCGGCAAGAGCTGCGCGCGCATTCAGCCGGTCATAGGAAAGCATTTACAATGCTTTCCTATGGACGCTGGCGTGCTCTCACTGTGAAAATCACAGTGAGAAGCACGCAAGCGCCTCTAGTGGCTGTCAATGAGACAGCCACTAGAGGATTAGGGGGAAGGCTTAACCCATTCATAATTATAGCAGTTTCTCTGAAACTGCTATAATTATGAAAAAATGGGTTAACCCTAGAAGGACCTGGCACCCAGACCACTTCATTAAGCTGAAGTGGTCTGGGTGCCTAGAGTGGTCCTTTAACATACGCTTCTGATCATGTCAGCCTCTGTCATTTTAAGATGGAGCAGCGTCTGTCTCCAAGTCTCTCCTCTGTTTCTTAACATTTAAAAATACACATATTTATACCTTAGGTGTCTCCATTCTAGGGTTACCGTAGTTCAAATATGAAAAAGTAACACTTCTTTTACTTTATTCATCTTAGGACCTCCCTTAACTTGGCAAAAATACAAGTCAATAACTAAAGGGTGTATACGTCATGGAAATAATATGCACTGAGGTTATTGCTTAAAGAAACATCTATAAAAAACAATATGTTCCATTTCTAACACCTTGTCAATTTGCAATATCTCTTAAAGTACACAGTTTAAGAAATACAACATTTCATTCTAAAACTTGTAATATTTGCTTTTGCTCATAACAGTTCTATCTGCATATTTTTGTCTAAAGCTCTTTGGAACATAACTTTACAAACCATCCTTCCCCTCTGTGGTCATAAATAAGTGCCCTGCAAATCCAGTCATACACATTTGTCCAAAGTGTATGAGTTTATTGCGTTTTTGTGAATGACAGAGAAAGTGTAAATCTAGTTTTTAAAAACAATTTGGTCATGGCTGAATCTGCTTCAGTTAGAGATAAAGAATGCATTGTGATTTATGTGTGTACCATGCCGAAGATCACATGTGCTTTCACCAAGATGACTAAACATCACACTGCACAGGAAGTGCATAACTTCAAAGCTTCTCACAATAGTTCCACCAGTCATGTTTGTAGTTTTACTCCAAATCCTGACACATGAATAACATTATACAAATATATTCGGGGCCAGTACAAACCATTATCTGGAAATCTATTCATAAACAGGGCTATACATAGGACACAAGGTCATGCATTTAGGCTGGAAGAAAGATTTCATCTAAGGCAAAGAAAAGGTTTTGTTTTTACAGTAAAAGCAATAAGGATATGGAATTCTCTGCCTGAAGAGGTGGCTTTATCAGAGTCCATACAGATGTTTAAACTGCAATTGGATAAACACTTCCAAAAACATAACATACAGGGATATAATTTCTAATTAGTGGGGTAATAGCTGCTCGATCCAAGGAGACATCGGACTGCCATTCTGGGGTCAAGAAGGAATTTGTTCCTAGTTCGTTGCAAAATTGTAAGTGCCTCAGACTGGGTTTTTTGCCTTCTTTTGGATCAACAGCAACAACATTTGTGAGGAAGGCTGAACTTGATGGACGCGAGTCTCTTTTCAGCTATATAACTATGAATTGCACCAGTAGGACTAAAATAGGTAAAATTTATTTTCATTAGCACAGTGTACAAAAAGGATAGTAGGACTCACTGCAAAGCTGGACCTTGTCATGTTGCCAGGGCAGACTTCTTGTTAATATCTACTTAATGCAAATGTTTCGTTTCAGTCTGTCATTGTGAACATAACAATATAATATATTTGTATAGGGGACGTGCTCCTGAGCATTAATGGGACTGACCTTACATCACTGGGCTATTTGGAAGCAGTGTCTGTACTGAAGTCCAATGCAGCTTCTCATACAGTTGTTCTGAAAACTCTGGAGTTTGCGCTGGGAGAAAAGCCAAACGAGGTGATAGAGGGAACTGCTGAAATACCAAGAGAACGTGGGGGGATGTGGTCTCCACTTTGGGTATCGTGGCTTTCTTTACCCAGGTGAGTGTTAAGCCAGTTTTTATTCCATTTTTTTTTTTTTTTTTGCTGAACAGATATTCTTTAATGTTTGTTGAATATTCAACTTGCAACAGACTAAATATTTATCCAATCAATACCTACATAATGACATTGATGCCTTGTTCATTACGATGTATGGGATACTGGCAGGATAAACCTGGAAAAATTATAATGTAATGAATCTGTGGCTTAATGCATTGAAAAGTAATGATTATTATCAATCTATTATTTCTAGACATGAAAGTCTTTTTACGTGTGCAGTTTCTTGTGACTTCATCTGTGTAATAGGATATAAGTGAGCTTGATGGTTACCCAGTTGACAAAAGTTAATCACTGAACTATTTTCACAACCGTTTGGGACCTGCTTAGATTAATGGTATAAAATGCACAGAATTTCATGCAAATATAATTTTTAATATCTACTTATTTTTCCCCATTATGTGTGGTTATCTGACTAGCCTTCACCTGTGTGTGTTATGAAACATTTCATTTCTGTTCCATTCCATAGCACTCTCCACTGGTGTCGGCATATTTCTTTACGGAAGAGCACGTTTGAAAGCTGGGGATTCAGCATCGTTGGAGGTTACGAGGAGACCAAAGGCAATCAGCCATTCTTCATTAAAACAATAGTGCCGGCCACACCAGCTTTTTTTGATGGACGCTTGAAGTAAGTTGGTCATCGAGCTGCACCAAAAACCATATCCATAAATAGACAAACCAACCTGCAAAAACTCTTTGCCACATCTTACATTAGATCCATTCTATTTCAGAAAATAAGTGTAATGCTTTTTCCTGATCACACCATGGCAGCATAGACTAATGATTAGGTACTCCCCTTTGCCAAAATAAAACCAAGAAATAACTTTTTTGAAATTAGGTCTACCTGCTCTTTTTGTGCTCTGTAGCAATTGGGAAGAAGCCTGTTTTAACAAGCCACTTTATCTATTCCTCCTATTGTGTTTATAGCTTGGGTATTACCCATCAGTCAGTACTGCATGTTTTGATCAGGAAAATCCAAATCAAATTCCTTCCATCCTTAATGTAATTTCCATTTCTTAATCACTGTAGCATCATTATATTCTCCCTCTTCTTCTGTTCGTGGTTTTTGAGGCTAATTTTAAAGTGACACTGTCCCCCCACCCCCCTTCGAAAAATTTGTATTTCATAAAGATAGAATATTTATGAAATACGTATTTACATTTTGTTAGAATTTCACAGAAATTCCAATCCAGACAATAGATATACTGAGACATTTCTCTGCATATTTCATCTGCCTGACACAAATGTCAGTCCCCTCCAGTCGTCACCAGTGAAGGCTGCATGAAATTGTCTCTGCCTATGGAAGATCCCGCGGAGGAAGATGGCCGTGCCTGTGAGGGACAGGTTCAGTTTAGTAGAATTCCCCTTTACCTGCCCCCTCCTCCTGGCTACTGGACTCCCAGCTGTGATGTCACTGTCACAACAGTGACAGTGGTGATTTAAAATGTTTGTGTCTTGGAGATAACCTTTAGTCAATGTAGCCTTGGTGATTGATAAGGAAATTAGAATTACAGTAAGTATGGAAACCATTTTCTCATTGATAAATTTTGCTATTTTTCTGATTTCATTTTGCTGGAAATTATTTTTAATTTTTTTTTTTTTATTGTATATTTGTGGGCCTGACATAATATTAGAACTGTGGATATGCTCATTGCACGGCTTTAGAAATCTAAATAAATATAAGAAGCATTTTATCTTACAAACATATCTAAATTAAAGTGTTGGTCCTCAGACACTTTTCTGAAGGCACATTCTTAAATTTAGTGTTTGACTTACTTTCTTCAAAGTTTTTCATCAATACAACTATTCTTGTGTATAGCCAACAATAGATGCAATGTAGAGAGAGAACCAATCTGTGTAGTGCATGAAGTCACAAAATAATGAAAACAATCCAATGTATATGTCAACCTGGACGAGGTGTTGAGGTACAGTTGTGAGAGATCTGTATTCACTTTTACCTTTAATCTTACCTTGCTAATCCTAATTTTAATTTTTGTATCTTGCATTCAGGTGTGGCGATGAGATTGTTGAAGTAAATGGTGTGTCGGCAGCAGGAATGAGTAACTCACAGCTGATCCCCATGTTGAAAGAACAGAAGAATAGGGTCACTTTAACCGTGGTATCGTGGCCTGGGAGTTTAGTCTGAAAATGCCAAAGTCCATACCATTGAACTTTATTGAGCCCAATGCAAAATGTACTGGAAATGCAAAGTTTTTTCCTTCTTCTGCCCTGTGCCTTTAGAACATCCCAGGAACCTGAACAATGAATGATTGTTGTAAGCTAATCTGAAAACTACTGACATTATGGATTGTAGGAGCATGTTGTTCACCAGCATCTTTTAATTGGGGGGAGGAACTAGATGCATTTTCATTAAGGGTTGAAATCTTTGCCTACTGTGTGTTTTGATAGTTTAGTCTCTAAAGCGTAATTTGTAGTTGCAGTGATTGTGCCACAATGTAATATATCCAAGGAAAATTGTCAAACATTAATTTTACAGATCCATTGTTTTATGGGTATCGGCAAGATATTTATGGAAGTGCCTTAACATTTCCAGCTAGAGGGGGTTCTTTCTGTAATTGCTTTCATTTTACAAGTAAATGACGCAAAACCAATCTGATATTACTGGACTGAACAAACTCAAACATCGAACAAGATGAAGGAATACTACCAGCTAAAAATGAATAATGACATAAAAACAAGCCCCTGACCTTTACACTTTGGTATTATTAATGTATGTGACGACATGTCTAAATTCTGGCCCACTGTCTAAATTTATTTATTATTAGATTTCACTACAACAAACCACTTTACTGACCTAGGTATTGTGCGACTCTTACAAACTGAAAATTCCCCTTTTAATTTCTGTAAGATTTTTAATAGCCTGTTCAATTATCTTCTGTATTTAACACATGTTTGTAAAGGTCTGAAAAATCTAAGTAAATGTAGGAATTCACACTGCTTTATTTATCTCTACACTGGAACTGAGAGACTCTATATTTGCGCCCTTTAATTCATTATTATAAGCTGTACATTTTTTTTGTCATTTAAAGGGACACTATAGTCACCAGAACAACTACAGCTTATTGTATTTGTTCTGGTAAGTAGAATCATTCCCTGCAGGGTTTTGCTGTAAATGTTTTTTTCCGTGAGAATGCTATGTTTACCTCACAGCCTAGGGATAACTTCACTGGCCACTCCTCAGATGGCTGCTAGAGGTGCTTCCTGGGTCATTCATTGTCTTCACCCTCTGCATGCAGACACTGAACATTCATCATAGAAATGCATTGATTCAATGGATCTCTGAGGAGATGCTGATTGGCCAGGGCTGTTTTTGACTTGTGCTGGCTTTGCCTCCATGACGATCTCCGCCAATCCTATTGGAAACATTGTGATTGGTTCACAGAATCACTTCTGATGATATCAGGCATGCGGACAGGTCAGATGTAGCAGCTGCAGACTTGCATACAAGTAAGATTTTACTATATTTAGAGAGGCAAGGTAGGTGTGGGGGTGAGAGGTAGATGTTTGTTTTAACACTATAGAGTCAGGAATACATGTTTGTCTGCCTTACCCTACAGTGTTCCTTTAATATTCATTTGAAAAAAACCTTTTGTATCTGTAAGCCAACCTACATACCATTTGTAACTTGCATCAAAGCTCTATAAGAGACAGAAATAATCCAATGGCCATGAAGGTAGCAGACGGGAAACAAACCATGTATTCTCCAATGTACTCTGTGCCATGGCTGTTCCTAGACTGAACTAGAATCTGATGTAATTTAATACATCTGTTTAATAGACCTCTAAAAGAAAATCAAACATCAAATTGAAAAGGTTAACACAAATTCTAGGCCATGTTCAATGTTTTATGCAGTGGTGTAAATTCTAAGATTCTAAAAGTAAAATGACAGGGGCCTTAATTGTGTGTTTAACGCATACCTGCACTTTGTATCCCATTAAACAATGGAATTTGTGTTCTGATTGTATCTTGGATAACATTTTAACAAAAGATTGTGATCTGACAACTCTCTATCTTTTGAATGATCTTTAAGTTAAATGATGTTGGCTGTCGGACAGCATGTTTTTATTTTATTTTTACGATTTTGCCTTATATTTGTATGCTTGTCATGATCTGAAATGGCTGTAATACTTCATGTCTTAAAGTGACCGTGTATCCTGAAATAACTACGGCTTAATTGCATGTAAATGTGTAGTCAATTCTTCTGACCCACTTTTAGTTAAACTGTTAACCATTATATACTTGATAATGATACCTTTCAGGCCACCTCAGCTAGAGAAAGCATTATTAAGATAAGGGTTAGTCTGATTGTAATTTTCTAAATAGAGACTTGATGCTACGAAGCATTACACACTTCATAAAGTTAATTAAGCCAAAATCATTAGATATTTAAGTCTGAAATGTTTCTTAATAAATTATTGCTTTAATCCTGTATTGCTGGCTGGACTTGCAATTCCTTGCACGATCCCTGGCATTACACAGACTGTATCTGTATAGTTCTAACACCAATGGATGTTGAGTTTGTATATGTCTTTCCCTGTCCTTGTAAATTAGTTATTTGTATTGTACTTATCAGATTTTCTAAGGTTGTTGCTTTAAACTGTTTTTCATTGTATGCAATATAATTATATTGTGCTGCAGCTTGGTTGGCCAGATAGGTTTCATCACCCCATACAAAATGTGTAGTCCATCATGCGCTGGTTCAGTTCTTTTGGTGCCCTGCCATCCAAAATTGTTTGCTGAGATTGGGAGCATCCTGATAAATGAAGTCCTCAACAGATATTACATGCCAATGGTTAGCCACCATTACTGAGCATTGAATAACGAGAATGGTCCTGATTCACAAATTGCCCATCTCAGGGAAATTCTTTGTAACTAATGAGTGATTTTATAATATTACAAAATAAAGTTTACAAAAAAATAAAACCTTTACCATTTTGTACTGTCAGATTGTGAATCTGAATGCCGTGACTACTGTACTTTTTATGTGGTTGGATGTAGGATTATTTGGGGGAGATGTTAAGCTGCAAGTACCTTCTAAAACAATCATTGATCACTTTTTTTTTTTCTGGCTCTGTATTTGGTGAATAATGTGGTATCTGTGCTTAATATGTATGAACAGTGAGCAGCAATTACCTTATTCTGGACTGCGTGTGAATAGGGGAGAAATGCATGGGTCCAATGCACATGAAATACTAAATCTGCATTGGAGCTCTGAACATTGGTTGCTAATGATGGGAGTTGCAGTTCAGACGCTGAAGTGGGAGAGTACAGGCCGTCAGTGCCACTACTCTACCATGAACAACATCCGCCAATATTTACAGGCAGATCATGCACAAAGTGCTGTTGATCAATTCTGGTTGTCTTCTTAGACATCTGAATATATTTCCAGTTTTGAACAGTCCAGTGATGAGAGTACACCTGCAATCCACTGTGAGGTATTAAAGAAGAAGTATCACCTCACAGGTTTTACTATTCTGTTAACTTACACTTTTTTTTTAATTTGGTGCATAGATTTAAACGTAACAAATTGCTTGCCATGTTGCCAGTGTTCCAATCGACATTTAAAGACAATGGTTAGGCATGGATAACATTGCACGTTTTTAAATTTAAGGTAGATTAAAAACAGTCGTGTAATGCAAGTCAAAAAGACTAACGAAACGTAGGGGCTATGTTTACATAAATGCATGAAGATTAACTGATGTTTTTGTAATGTAAATAGGTCAGTATCCCCGGATAGCCTTGTTCACCTTGCAAAGCTCGGTAAGCCCTCTCACTGTCAGTGATTGTTCTGTCTAGGTCCTCCCCTGAGTGTCTAGTAGCCCTTTAGTTGAGTGCACAGTCAGAGCAAGGAACTTGCTTACATATGTGTGTGGCACCCTGTAGTGGGTAAGTAGTGTGTGGAGGTGTCGGTAGTGGGGTTCACTTATGGTGCTGTATATGTGACAACTGACGTGCTCTTGAGAGGACCTGAAATGGTAATTTGTCAGACGAATGAGGAGACCCACAAATCAGTGAGTTTGAGTGCAGGCTTATCTTCATGGGCTATCCCTCAAGCTACGATGGTTGGGGTTATTCTTGCTGTGCTGGTCATAAAGGTTCACTTAACTCGCCTGATTTACCCTGAGGCTTGGAGGGGGGAGGGGGAAGAACCTCATATGGGCGACAGTCGGATATTGTCTTAGTGCGTCATGTCACTAAATTGAGAACTGGAAAAATAGTAAATGCTATAAAGCTATTATCAAGGCACTAGTTGATCTGGCCCATTAGAGAGTCACGTTGTGGCTATGGCATAAGAGTTCAAAGTGTTTGACCTAGGCACAAAGTCTCGGGTGACCACAGGGTCCCAGCCATGAGGATTCGAGTGTCCTGCAGCCTGTGCTGATGGGCCCAGCGAATCTGGAGGAAGATCCAGAGCCTGTAGGTTCTTTGCTGCGTCTTGTTGGTCGTGGATGGTGATGGTGTTGTCTCCCAGTGAGATTAGCAACGTACGGGCTAGGCTCCAGCGGTAACTGATGTTCGGTGCACGTAGGAGGGAGGTGAATGGTTGGAGTGATTGCTGCCACGCCAGAGTTCCTCCAGAGAGATCTGCACAGAAGGCTAATGACATCCCCTCAAAGCTGTAAGGCGACTGCCCCCTAATGGCAGCTAGAACCGCGGTATTATCTTTGTGGCTTTGAATTCGTATCACTGGGGCTGCGATTGGTGCTTTGGCAGGTTTTGGGATTTGGAATATTCCCTGTGTCACTGCCTTTGCCAGTTTCGGGGTTAGAAAGGCCACCAGGAGGCGTCGGGTGAAGTTTTGGAGTTCAGCCGTCGATATATTCTCAGAGAACCCCACTGATTTTCAGGTTTTTCGGTCTCCTCCTATCCTCCTGGGCGTCGAATCTGTGTTCGTGGGTTAGGTTCTGTTTCCTCAGCTCTCTCACTGCCTGTTGCACCTCTGTGACTTTTTGTGTGTGTTCATGCGAAGTACCTCCCGTATCATGGCCACATCCGCCAAGATTTTCTTATGGAGGTCTGCCATGAGCTTCTTGATAGCCGCTGGTGTGATGTCTGTTACCAGAGGTAGGGGCACCGCACGGGCCACTGTTTCCAACACCGGTGTTGGTGTGAGGTCTCCCTCTGCTTCATCCGATGTTCTGTCGGAAACGTTGAGCAGCTGCCGTGGAGGGACACCATCTTGGCCGCCATGTGCCTGCTGCTACAGATCACCAATGCTCATACCCTGCCGGGGTCTGTCGGGTCTTTGTTTCTTCGTGGCCCATTAAGATAGGTGTTGGGGTCTGCCTGGGCTTCTTTTGAGCATGGATTATCACGATTATATGGTATTTGCCCGCTGATATTCCAGAGCTCAGAGACCATGCGACTGTCCTCTTTATTTAACAAACGTGTTTGTGAGAGTGTAAGAAATAAAATGAAAGGTAGAAATCAACACATTTTTATCCTGCAGCTGGGCACCTCCATCGTAGCTCCCGGTCAATCATTATTTCAAACTCTGTCCCTTTTACCTGGCAGTTAACTTAGAGAAAGCATACAGTGAATATATTGAAATATTTTTGTTTCTTAATTTGTCATTGTTGCCTTGTCTAAACTGGATTATGAGGTCACGTGCTAAATCCTTAAAATATAATGTAATATAAATGAAAAAAGGATAACACGAGTGTTCATTTTAGTGTTTTATTCAGTGGTATAAATTTTAGAGAAATTACAGATTCCCTTTAGACTACTTTGGCAAACTACAGTCCTACGAGCAGACATATGTGATAGTGTTATCATAGTTGGTCTACATATAATTACAGTAATTTGCTAAAAGAAAATCTGTACACATGCCAGAACATCCCAAATAAATGACCAACTTGTTTGACATTTCATGCTTGTATATTTTGCTCAAATTATGATAGAAAACAGCCCTTGCAATATACTGTCCTAAATAAAATTGCTGATTGTCTTAGGGATGCACCGAAATTAAAATTCTGGGCTGAAACCGAAAATTCAGGATGCCCTTTGCCGAAAATAACTTTTTCCCTAAATGATTTTAAAAGTTTTTTTTTTTTCTTTCTATAAGTTTATTAATATTAGACGTTTTAATGAATCTAATATGGAAAAACTTCCCTTCTCCTTACTCTTTAAGTAGTCACCCCCAGTGTTCCTTTCCCCTTCCCTATACCTTAGTCCCCCCTCCCTTAATGTTCCTTTCCCCTCCTTTTTTTAGTGTTCTTTCCTTCCTCCTCCCCTGTCCCACAGTGTTCTTTCCCACCCCCACCCTGCATCCCCTGTCCCATAGTGTTCTTTCCCACCCCCACCCTGCATCCCCTGTCCCATAGTGTTCTCCCCCCCCACCCTTCATCCCTGTTCCATAGTGTTCTTTCCCCCTCCTGTTCCATAGTGTTTCCCCGCCCATAGTGTTTCCCCCTCCCATAGTGTTCTTTCCCCATCCATAGTGTTCTTCCATAGTGTTCCCCCGGCCTAGTGTTCTTTCCCTCCCCATAGTGTTCTTCCCCGTCCCATAGTGTTCTTTTCACACACCGTCCTATAGTGTTCTTTCCCCCTGTCCCATAGTGTTCTTTCTCTTTTCACACACCGTCCTATAGTGTTCTTTCCCCATCCATAGTGTTCTTTTCACACACCCGCCCTATAGTGTTCTTTTTCCCCTGTCCCATAGTGTTCTTTCCCCGTCCCATAGTGTTCTTTCCCCGTCCATAGTGTTCTTTTCCACACTCCTATAGTGTTCTTTTTCACACACCCGATCCCTATAGTGTTCTTTTCACACACCCGCCCTATAGTGTTCTTTTCACACCCGCCCCATAGTGTTCTTTTCACACACCGCCCATAGTGTTCTTTTCACACACCTGTCCTATAGTGTTCTTTTCCCCGTCCCATAGTGTTCTTCTCCCCAGTCCCATAGTGTTGTTCTCCTCCCCTTACCTGTCCCATAGTGTTTCTCCCCCTCCATAGTGTTCTTCCCCTGCCCTTTTGCCCTTTCTCAGTGTTCTCCCCTTCCTGTCCCATAGTGTTCTCCCCTTCCTGTCCCTGTATAGTGTTCTTCCCCTTCCCCTATAGTGTTTTACCTCCTTCGTCCTAGTGTTCTTCCCCCTTCCCGTAGGTGTTTTACCCCCTTCCCCATAGTGTTCTTTTCTCCATGGTGTTCTTTCACACCTCGATAGTGTTCTTCCCCTCCCCTTACCTGTCCCATAGTGTTCTTCCCTGCATGCCCTTTTGCCTTTCAGTGTTCTTTCCCCTTCCCTGTCCTATAGTGTTCTCCCCCTTCCCATCCCATAGTGCAGTATTCTTGACTTTTCATGTTAGTATTACTATATTTCATTGTGATATATAATCTGAATTGCCAATGCAAGCATGTCTATTAAAATATGCACTACAAAAATGCCCAGGGAAGCACAAAACCAGAATACACCACTGAATACACCCCCCTTATGCACCGTGTGTATTTTTAACTGTATATATGACAGTGTGTACATGTGCCTGGCAGTGAGTATTCTTGTATGTGTGAAAGTGAAAACATGACTTTCTCTGTTTTGCTTCACCATTATTTACCCACCGTGCTTACCTTTTGGGCATGGAAAAGAATACCTATCCTACTTGCTGGTGGCTGATTGAATGCTCCATTTTGGGCTTTGACCATAGGGAAGCGGCAGCAGTGATCTGGGACTGCAAAGAGCACAAATTGCAATTTGCAAAAAAAAGTAATTTATGGTACGTACCCTGAAAATAATTACTCAAACTCCCCTAATGAACAGGTTATAGGAGGGGAGCCCATGATGAATTAGTCAATTCTCTAGAACTTGTAGATGAACATCACACACTATTCTATATATTACTCTGACCATGAAAATGACCACTGACTTGATTTTTAATAACGTATAGGGAGTTAAAACCTTGCAGACCCTTCCTTCACCAGGAAGAGGATCACCAAGCAGGAGCCTCTCATTTTGGTCTACGGTGTCTGCTATTCTCCCATAAACGAGTAAGGAATACGTAGTTTATAATTACATAGTATAGCTGTCATTCTGCACACAGCCATGTTAGCTGTTAGTGAATCAGACTATATGCACTCAGTAACATTGAAGAAGAATTAGCTCAGTCCCAGCTATGCGCATGTACAATGTGGGCAACATTTAAAAAGGCAGCCCAAAGAGGAGAGATCTAGCTCTATGATTGAAAGTTCTAAGGGCTTGTCTTACAACTGCAGTTATTTATACACAAATTGCTGCAGCTCTGAGCACTCTTGGAGCTAGTGTTGACTAAAGGGTTCTTATGGTGCTTGGACAGGTCCTTTATGAAGTGCTGCCCTGACTGCATTGTCTAGCAGTAGCCTATTGGTCAGAAATTAATTATGCAAATGCTTATTTTGAAAACCATTTCTAAATTTCTGGCACATGAAAGCAAAAGTGCTGGGCTGGAGATTAGAATTGCACTTTGTCCTCACATCAATGACTGATTTTCTGAACTTGTCAACTAGTATTCGTGAACATATTCTTTCAATATAGGCATTATGTTTACCCAAATTTGAACAATGATAAGTCATGAGTAGTTAAGGGCATATTGATCATGTAGATTCCAATGAGAGTAAATCCAATAATTTACTTAATTGGTGCTCAGAAAATATCCGATCTTTAATCACATACATGTGTTTTACTAATGACCAGTGATGATGGGCATATGGTTAGAGTCTTATCGGTTCTAGATTTCTAACCATGTATCCTTAAGAAAACTCGATGATGTAAGGAACTCCAGCAATACAAAAGCAAAACCAACACGAAGACTTGACCATCCTTGAGAAGATTCAAAGTCTCCAAAATAATCACGGCAGACCATCTTGGGATCCTTGTAGTAAAGTTATTTTTGTACTAAAGTTGAATGTTTTCCTTGAACATTTTCCGACAGACGCTATTAAGCTGCCATTGTGTACATTCTCCTGTACCAAGTTCGGTTGTCATAAAGAGACTAATCGCGGTGGCTGCGTCTAGTTGCTACCGATCTATCTTCAGAGCTGCTCTTTTCTTCTTTCCCCCGCTTGCTTTTCTTACGTTTGTGCCGCCGGTGACTTTCTCGCTCTTCACTGTCTTGTTTGCTGATTATTGGGAACGAAGAGTTTCATGAAACACAATGAAAAAAAAAAAACTCACTTTTACATATTATCCAACAAGAATTGCAAGTTTATGGAAAGATTGATATTTTTTGTGTACTTGTTTTTTTTTAATTCCTACTACTGCCCCATATTCAAAAATTTTAACGAGAATGTCATATATCAACCATAGGTTAGGCTAACAGATGTACTTTATTCCCCTAAGGACCAATCTGCCCTTTAACAATTTTATTCCAATTAACAGCTAATCCTTCTGTGGCTGCCAAAAGTAATCCTGCAGTAAATTCCACACTAGCATAAATTAGTTAGGGACCAGATTGTGATAAAAGTTTTAAAACTTGGTCCTTCAGAGGTTAAATTTTGAAATCTATGATCAGTAGAGGTAAAAATGTTCTATGCCAGATTTAGGTATTTTCTCTACTAGAGATATATCTCAAATGTACGATAGGGCATGGTGTTAGGGAGGGGGCACTTTGTTTCAGAAATACTAGATACCTTAGAGGGACACTATAGTCACCAGAACAACTACAGCTTATTGAATTTGTTCTGGTGAGTAGAATATTACCTTCAGGCTTTTCAGAGAAAATGCAGTGTTTACATTACAGCCTAGTGATAACTTCACTGGCCACTCCTCAGATGGCTGTTAGAGGTCCTTCCTGGGTCATGGCTGCCTAAAATGCATCCAAACATTCAGTGTCTCATCCCTCTGCATGCAGACACTGAACTTTCCTCATAGAGATTCATTGATTCAATTCATCTCTATGACTAGATGCTGATTGGCCAGGGTTGTGTTTGAATCATGCTGGCCCTGCCCCTGATCTGCCTCCTTGTCAGTCTCAGCCAATTCTATGGAGAAGCATTGTGATTGGATCAGGCTACCGCTTCTGATGATGTCAGCAGACTGCTTGTTATTTTGAGGCAAACAGCATGCAGATCTACAGCTTCAGGCTTGAATACAGTAAGATTTTGCTATATTTATCGAGGCATGAGGGGCCCGAAGAGGCTAGATGGTAGTTTTAACACTATAGGGTCAGGAATTCATGTTTGTGTTCCTGACCCTATAGTGATCCTTTAAGGTTAAGGAGAGCCAAATTTAAAGGCTATGAATGCTGGAACCGTCACACTAATAAGCTCTGGCATGTTGAATCACATGTGATTAAAAAGGTAGAATTAAAGTTTACGCTTCATATTAGACATATTGATGGCTTGAAGTGACAAGTCTTGTTACATAAAGTAGATTAAAATGGGTGGGTTGTGTACCATAGGAAATACTTACTGGCGTGAAGACTTGTGTTTACTGCTCTCCTCTCGGTCTCGTTGACGCTGCTCCCCTCTAGGTTTCTCCTCCCTCTCCCAGCTACGTTCTCGTGGACGCTCCTCACTGCGCCGATACTTTCTCTCATGCTCATAGCTTCTTTCTCTGTGGTAACGTGGGTATCGATCTTCACTTGAAATACAAATGGAAAGAACATATTAACCAATTTTGTATTCATTCCTGGTAAAAGGGTATGGCAATTGGTTAAAAACTGTATTTCCCACTGTTCAGACTGACAGGTGTATTTCTCTTTAGTTTTTAGTTTTTTCTTTTCAGAATATCTAATCCAGCTGAACCTCATGAGAAATCTGAGAAGGTTAAATCGGTAGAATAGGCGAAAAACTTATGTTGTGCTACTTGCAACACTCCCTCACTAGATATATTAGTTAGCTGAGAGACTGACTCCTAGAGCTACATATCCATCAGTGGGGATTGTACCGCTGTATGCGGTTTTACTCAGAGCTGGTTTATAGCTATATTAAATGTGAATGCTATACCATGTATATTTCTGTTGTGTGTCCTGCACCTAGCACTAGATACTCTGTACTATCACCGGTTTTATTACATAAATCTCCCAATTATCTCAAGTCTGGACGCTTATCAGCAAGGAAAATCCCAAGCATTTGTGGACTTATTGGGCTTTAAATTTGTGTTTTGTATTGTTTTGTTCTCCTTTTACCTGTAAGGGGATAGG